TAAGTTAACTAACTTAAATAGGATATTAAAAATAAAATATAAATAATATATCCATTGTTAGTTGTTAGTATTGTTAAGCATTGAGATTGGAGATTGCAACTTTATTTAAATGAAAACATTATTATCATTTATGTCAAAAGTGGAAAAAAGTTAACAGGAGTTTCAATATAAATAGCGATAGATTGATAATGATAAATTGTTTTGTTGGACACACATTTTCATTCACACATATTAGATTTAGATAACATCAGAACTTTTTAATAATATTGCAAAAAAACTTCGCTCGCAACCGACTGAATTCAGGGACTTGGAAGAAAAAAAATTTACGACTGCAAAATTGCAAATGCTCATATTCAATATTGTAATAAAACATTGTATTATTCATTGTTGCCACGTGAATTACATGCAAATATTATATATTGAATTATTCCTAAAATAGTTTTAATCTGGAAAATTATTAATAGGTAAATCATGGGCTTCATCTGCGATCTGCAAATATCTGAAAGTTCAGAAAAAGACAATTTTCAAACAATTCTATTTACGGATCATTAAAATATTTATGAAGCAAAAAGTTTCTAACTTTAGCCCTCCCACCATTTTGCTTTGGAAGTTTATGATTTTCACCAAAACTAAAAAAGAAATTTATAGAACATTTATAAATGCTTCCTCATTCCTAAGCCGCAAACATCAAAATTTGTCAAAATTTTAGTTAATTGAAAAGCTTTAAATAATTGCAGTCACTTCGAAAGTCGTATTCATAAAAAGCTGAAAAAATTTGGTATTCACGAATACCAAATTTTAAAATACAATTACAAACTACCTTTTGCATAGGCATTGCTAGGTAGTCTGTATGCTGTAGTCGCTAATTTTGATGAATCTCTGGCTGTAAAGTTTACAGAAGGTTCTGGTATTTACTAGATGTGTGTATTTTTCGGTGAGGACCAACTTTTTCTCCGACAACTTTTTTGTAAAATCATTATTCAATAGGATAATTAGCTAATTACTTTACAGCCGGATATGTATCAAAATTAGCGACTACCTACCAATTCAGCTTAGCAATTGCTAAGCAAAAGGTAGTTGGTATTCATAAAAGGTAGTTGATATTCATAATTTTTTTATTTGGTATTCATGAATACCAAATTTTTTCAACTTTTTATGAATACGACTTACGCGATCTTATCTGTACAGAGCTAGATATAACTAATAATGTTTAACAATATCAGAAGAAAGAACACGTTGATTTTTCTATTCCTTTGCTCGAGTGTGTTCCTCCGTGTCAACAACAACGATGTTATTTGCTGCAGCTATTAACTGTACCACTGATATCACGCTCTGAAATAAAGACAATAACAATAAAGTGCACTACCTGGACCCAAGTTCGACACGTACTAAAGTTCGACAAGAGAACTTCGACTGTCGAACTACAAACTAGAGTTTTGAAATCTCCGATCTCAAGCAACAATCCCTTACGGTTTTGAAATCTATTCGTTTGTTTGGTTCCCACTTGTCTCATGCTGTTCAACTATGTGTGAATGTAATCTCTATATTCCATATCTATGAACATTTAATGGACATCAGACTGAATTGTTAGTTAGCAGAATTGTAGACTTAGCGGAGAGATAAAAGACTATCGTGGTAACTCGTACTCCGTTTTATAGATCTAGATTGTAGAGTACGCTATATAAATATCTACCACATACCACACTTTATATTATCACAAACGACTAGTAACCGAGTACCCGTCTAGAGATTTGGCTGTTGAACCGGAAACAGTCTGATATCAATCTATTTTCCTGTTAGCTAGACCAGAACTGATTGGCAAACAGGAAAATTAGAACTACGTATACTGAAAGGTTTTGGAATTTCTAACCGCTGGTTGCTAGATGTCAGAAAATTGTTTTATCTGCAATTGAACCCTGTGATCCTTCCTATGATGAGGACCCGGCAATAACCGTTGGATCACAAGCAGAAACTATTTGTCGAACTAGAGTACGCTACCTGGACTCTAGTTCGACTCATACCGAAGTTCGACAGGGGTGATATCTGGCGAACTTAAGTTGTCGAACTAGAATACGTGAATCACCTCCGGCTAGATTTCAAGAAATAAAATACAAAATTCCTCGAGAACCGGTTAAAATAACGTTCATCAACAAAGCAAGGACCTACCTTGAGGACCATAACCGGTGCACAGCAGATAACTACTGATCTGAAGAAACCATAACCTCCGATATTGGGACCTTCACTAAAGTAAAGTAGGTAGAGGGCCGCGAAGAATAACTCGTTTCCTGGGAGAGAGAGAACAGTGTAAATAAATCCAGTAAATAATTTGTGCACTTATAACGCATGGGACCCGGACTCTACGGCGTAAGATTTTCGGGCGCAAAAAATTGAGGTTTGGGTTTGGTTATGACATGCGAGAATTTTTCTGAATAGCTCACGCGGTAGAGTCTGAAGAGGTAAAGTACCGAACCCTTTTTTTTGTAGATTCCTCCAAGTTAATAGATTAATAATATCAGTGAAAAATTCGTCGGTGGATGGGTGGATACTCGTGTAATTCACGAATGACTTATATTACTTATATATAAGTAATAATAATATAATTATATTATACTTAATCACCAATCAAGAAAATGGTAAAAGTTGTGGGAATGGTTTTTTTCGGTATAGTGCCGACAAACCTCTGCAGACGAACCTAAATGATTAAGGTTTTTATAAATTGGAGATTCGGACGATGGTTTAATTGGTGGTTCATTAGTAAGGAGTCTAGTTGTTCATTAGTTGTTGTCATTTATTATAGCGGCGGGTGCTATCTGAAATATATACGAGATTTAATTCGACTTAGCTGCCCCCTCTCTCACTCTCCCTCATTGCGTAACCTGCAATAATTAAATATTCATAGTGGGCCTGACACCATGATTGCTACTGTCCGCGGGGTCTTTTAGGAAGCTCAATTGCTAATATTATTGGAAATAATGTTAAATAATGTTAATTTGTAATTAATTGGAAATAATGTTAATAAAGTTTGTCACTATGGTGATGTTTTATAATTTTGTTTTATAGATGACTCTTGATCGCTTGACAATTTTGTCGCAACACGCAAGCTTTTTTATAATGCAGTTTTGGACAGTTCATACTTTTGGCCCTTTAATTAAAGTTTAAACTGCGACAGTGAAATCCCGGCAGTAGGCTGGGTTACACTTGTAAAATGATAATGACATAAAGATTAATAGAGTTAAACTGCACCTGCACACATTGAGAAGAGAACGGTTCTGTTTTGGTAGTAGTAATACAGTATCGGGTTAGAGGACAGGTCTATAGTCTTGTGTGAGGTGGCACCTGATTTAGGCGGTATAAAATAATAAATTTGGAAAGGTTAGTTCCCCACCACTGGCACTAGCTTCACATCGCGATATTCCCATACATTTTTAAAATCTTCAATAAACTCTATAATGTATAATGTATAATATTTAAGTTTGTATCAGGATACGTTCAAACAGTAGATTTTCTCCGTAATTGTGAAATGATCCTCGTTAAAAAGGGTGATCGAGAGATAAACCATCTCTTTAAGTTTCAATTCAAGATCTTAGTAAATTCTGCAATAACCTGAGTAGTGGGAAGCAGTGAGATGAAGCCAGTGCGAAACTATGTCCAGGACTGCGTAACATTGGAAGAAAAAGAACCAATCTTTGTACAGAAGGCCCAGTGCCATAACCAGCCCTAATGTGCTACATCTGATAATAAATATTATGTTATTAACCTGTCAACCTGACACGTGATAATAGAAGTGTGATATTGAGTTAAGTGATTGGCCAAAAATTGATCGTTTCAATTTCTCATGGCAAACCTTTTTTTTCTTATGCTTCCATAAAAACAACTTGGTATCTAAAAGCTCCCGCCAACCTAATAGTCCGGAAGTATCAGACAAACCTGTCGGTGAGCATGTCTAACATTGCACCCAGTTTTGAAGTCTGGCCGAGCATTCTGGCGGCGTGACCGTCAACCGCGTCCAGCAGCTGACTCAACAGATAGCAGGTCATGGTCACATGGTACATTCCAGGATCTGTTATAAAGTAGAAAGCGACAAACATGAGCGCAACTCTGGCGTATCCGATGAGGTTCGGGACAAAAAGATAAACGTTGGGTTCCGTTGAAGCCATCTCCGTACTACTACTATCCATTATTTGAGGGATAAGCGGTTAGATAAGATGAGATTTGCTAAAACTTGAGAGATTTTAGTACGAAAAGTCGTCGTCGTCGTTGAATAGTATGAAATAAGCAAGGATGGTACTGAACATAACAGTGTCAGCACCAATCAATAGCCAGAGAGCTCCTCGGGCGATCTGAAAAGGAGAGGAACGTAAAAACACTAAAATTAAAAAGTACAAGCAACGTTATGCACTTGAATACCGGTGAGAAAGCAACTGAGGAAAAACTACTCTTGAAATATTATTATTCTATTGTATACGTTGCATTGTATATCGTAAGTTAATTAATGAATTCATTGCGAACAATATAATTATACACTCCCTTGCAAAACGCTCGACGTTAGAAGAACTTTCGAATGTTTCCCTTCCCAAACTTTCCAGCACAATACAACACGTTAAACAAACGATGGAGCATAATTACGTATGTCAAAGAAACAAAACTCATTATTATCTCCGGTTACACAAAACTATTTACTAAACACTGAACAACAAACAATGATCTAATTCTACGCACAATGCAGTGTGCAACGTTTACGTGTACATATTATTAGTTCCTTAGTGTAATCTGAAGCGAGAAAGGATTGGTGCCGCGGCCGCCAGGTTCAACCCTAAAAGTTGGTTGAGCAGTTTTTATTAGAAAAACAACTACCAGATTTACACTTTTTTTCTTAAGAAGGATTCTTAAGAAGGATTGATACCCAGGCAGCATATTATAAAATATTTGTTTCAAATAAGACCGCGTCGACGAGTCTGGAGTCGAACTCGGCGCGAGTCTTGGTAGGTTATAAACGGAAACCTACAATAAACATACAACATAGATTGAGCTGCTGCCGGTGACAGGCTGAGCGCCGCCCAGTAAACTTTGATTAAAATTATATAAGTATAACTAACTTAAATAAGTTAACTAACTTAAATAGGATACTAAAAATAAAATATAAATAATATATCCATTGTTAGTATTAGTAGTATTGTTAAGCATTGAGATTGGAGATTGCAACTTTATTTAAATGAAAACATTATTATCATTTATGTCAAAAGTGGAAAAAAGTTAACAGGAGTTTCAATATAAATAGCAATAGATTGATAATGATAAATTGTTTTGTTGGACACACATTTTCATTCACACATATTAGATTTAGATAACATCAGAACTTTTTAATAATATTGCAAAAAAACTTCGCTCGCAACCGACTGAATTCAGGGACTTGGAAGAAAAAAAATTTACGACTGCAAAATTGCAAATGCTCATATTCAATATTGTAATAAAAAATTGTATTATTCATTGTTGCCACGTGAATTATATGCAAATATTATATATTTAATTATTCCTAAAATAGTTTTAAATCTGGAAAATTATTAATAGGTAAATCATGGGCTTCATCTGCGATCTGCAAATATCTGAAAGTTCAGAAAAAGACAGTTTTCAAAGTTCAAACAATTCTATTTACGGATCATTAAAATATTTATGAAGCAAAAAGTTTCTAACTTTAGCCTCTCCCACCATTTTGCTTTGGAAGTTTACGATTTTCACCAAAACTAAAAAAGAAATTTATAGAACATTTATAAATGCTTCCTCATTCCTAAGCCGCAAACATCAAAATTTGTCACAATTTTAGTTAATTGAAAAGCTTTAAATAATTGCAGTCACTTCGAAAGTCGTATTCATAAAAAGCTGAAAAAATTTGGTATTCACGAATACCAAATTTTAAAATACAATTACAAACTACCTTTTGCTAGGCATTGCTAGGTAGTCTGTATGCTGTAGTCGCTAATTTTGATGAATCTCTGGCTGTAAAGTTTACAGAAGGTTCTGGTATTTACTAGATGTGTATTTTTCGGTGAGGACCAACTTTTTCTCCGACAACTTTTTTGTAAAATCATTATTCAATAGGATAATTAGCTAATTACTTTACAGCCGGATATGTATCAAAATTAGCGACTACCTAGCAATTCAGCTTAGCAATTGCTAAGCAAAAGGTAGTTGGTATTCATAAAAGGTAGTTGATATTCATAATTTTTTTATTTGGTATTCATGAATACCAAATTTTTTCAACTTTTTATGAATACGACTTACGCGATCTTATCTGTACAGAGCTAGAGATAACTATAATGTTTAACAATATCAGAAGAAAGAACACGTTGATTTTTCTATTCCTTTGCTCGAGTGTGTTCCTCCGTGTCAACAACAACGATGTTATTTGCTGCAGCTATTAACTGTACCACTGATATCACGCTCTGAAATAAAGACAATAACAATAAATAAAGTGCACTACCTGGACCCAAGTTCGACACGTACTAAAGTTCGACAAGAGAACTTCGACTGTCGAACTACAAACTAGAGTTTTGAAATCTCCGATCTCAAGCAACAATCCCTTACGGTTTTGAAATCTATTCGTTTGTTTGGTTCCCACTTGTCTCATGCTGTTCAACTATGTGTGAATGTAATCTCTATAATCCATATCTATGAACATTTAATAGACATCAGACTCAATTGTTAGTTAGCAGAATTGTAGACTTAGCGGAGAGATAAAATACTATCGTAGTAACTCGTACTCCGTTTTATAGATCTATATTGTAGAGTACGCTATATAAATATCTACCACATATCACACTTTATGTTTAATTATCACAAACGACTAGTAACCGAGTACCCGTCTAGAGATTTGGCTGTTGAACCGGAAACAGTCTGATATCAATCTATTTTCCTGTTAGCTAGACCAGAACTGATTGGCAAACAGGAAAATTAGAACTACGTATACTGAAAGGTTTTGGAATTTCTAACCGCTGGTTGCTAGATGTCAGAAAATTGTTTTATCTGCAATTGAACCCTGTGATCCTTCCTATGATGAGGACCCGGCAATAACCGTTGGATCACAAGTGCATGGCAGAAACTATTTGTCGAACTAGAGTACGCTACCTGGACTCTAGTTCGACTCATACCGAAGTTCGACAGGGGTGATATCTGGCGAACTTAAGTTGTCAAACTAGAATACGTGAATCACCTCCGGCTAGATTTCAAGAAATAAAATACAACATTCCTCGAGAACCGGTTAAGATAACGTTCATCAACAAAGCAAGGACCTTAGGACCTACCTTGAGGACCATAACCGGTGCACAGCAGATAACTACTGATCTGAAGAAACCGTAACCTCCGAAATTGGGACCTTCACTAAAGTAAAGTAGGTAGAGGGCCGCGAAGAATAACTCGTTTCCTGGGAGAGAGAACAGTGTAAATAAATCCAGTAAATAATTTGTGCACTTATTACGCATGGGACCCGGACTCTACGGCGTAAGATTTCCGGGCGCAAAAAATTGAGGTTTGTGTTTGGTTATGACAAAGGGGAATTTTTCTGAATAGCTCACGCGGTAGAGTCTAACGAGGTAGAGTACCGAACCCTTTTTTTGTAGATTCCTCCAAGTTAATAGATTAATAATATCAGTGAAAAATTCGTAGGTGGATGGGTGGGTACTTGTGTAATTCACGAATGACTTATATTACTTATATATAAGTAATATAAGTATATTATACTTAATCAACAATCAAGAAAATGGTAAAAGTTGTGGGAATGGTTTTTTCGGTATAGTGCCGACAAACCTCTGACGAACCTAAATGATTAAGGTTTTTATAAATTGGAGATTCGGACGATGGTTTAATTGTTCATTAGTAAGGAGTATAGTTGTTCATTAGTTGTTGTCATTTATTATAGCGGCGGGTGCTATCTGAAATATATACGAGGTTTAATTCGACTTGGCTGCCCCCTCTCTCACTATCCCTCATTGTAATTGCGTAACCTGCAATAATTAAATATTCATAGTGGGCCTGACACAGTGACTCCATGATTGCTGCTACTGTCCGCGGGGTCTTTTAGGAAGCTCAATTGCTAATATTATTGGAAATAATGTTAAATAATGTTAATTTGTAATTTATTGGAAATAATGTTAATAAAGTTTGACTGTAGTCACTATGGTGATGTTTCATCATTTTGTTTTACAGATGACTCTTGATCGCTTGACAATTTTGTCGCAACACGCAAGCTTTTTTATAATGCAGTTTTGGACAGTTCATACTTTTGGCCCTTTAATTAAAGTTTAAACTGCGACAGTGAAATCCCGGCAGTAGGCTGGGCTACACTTGTAAAATGATAATGACATAAAGATTAATAGAGTTAAACTGTACCTGCACACATCGAGAAGAGAACGGTTCTGTTTTGGTAGTAGTAATACAGTATCGGGTTAGAGGACAGGTCTATAGTCTTGTGTGAGGTGGCACCTGAGGGGGGCGGTATAAAATAATAAATTTGGAAAAGTTAGTTCCCCACCACTGGCACTAGCTTCACAACGCGATATAACCATACATTTTTTAAATCTTCAATAAACTCTATAATGTATGTTTAATGTATATGTTTAACTTTAAGTTTGTATTAGTATACGTTCAAACAGTAGATATTCTTCGTTATTGTGAAATGATCCTCGTTAAAAAGGGTGATCGAGAGAAACCATCTCTTTCAATTCAAGATCACAGTAAATTCTGCAATAACCTGAGTAGTGGGAAGCAGTGAGATGAAGCCAGTGCGAAACTATGTCCAGGACTGCGTAACATTGGAAGAAAAAGAACCAATCTTTGTACAGAAGGCCCAGTGCCATAACCAGCCCTAATGTGCTACATCTGATAATAAATATTATGTTATTAACCAGCCAACCTGACACGTGATAATAGAAGTGTGATATTGAGTTAAGTGATTGGCCAAAAATTGATCGTTTCAATTTCTCATGGCAAACCTTTTTTTCTTATGCTTCCATAAAAACAACTTGGTATCTAAAAGCTCCCGCCAACCTAATGGTCCGGGAGTATCAGACAAACCTGTCGGTGAGCATGTCTAACATTGCACCCAGTTTTGAAGTCTGGCCGAGCATTCTGGCGGCGTGACCGTCAACCGCGTCCAGCAGCTGACTCAACAGATAGCAGGTCATGGTCACATGGTACATTCCAGGATCTGTTATAAAGTAGAAAGCGACAAACATGAGCGCAACTCTGGCGTATCCGATGAGGTTCGGGACAAAAAGATAAACGTTGGGTTCCGTTGAAGCCATCTCCGTACTACTACTATCCATTATTTGAGGGATAAGCGGTTAGATAAGATGAGATTTGCTAAAACTTGAGAGATTTTAGTACGAAAAGTCGTCGTCGTCGTTGAATAGTATGAAATAAGCAAGGATGGTACTGAACATAACAGTGTCAGCACCAATCAATAGCCAGAGAGCTCCTCGGGCGATCTGAAAAGGAGAGGAACGTAAAACACTAAAACACTAAAATTAAAAAGTACAAGCAACGTTATGCACTTGAATACCGGCGAGAAAGCAACTGAGGAAAAACTACTCTTGAAATATTATTATTCTATTGTATACGTTGCATTGTAGATCGTAAGTTAATTAATGAATTCATTGCGAACAATATAATTATACACTCCCTTGCAAAACACTCGACGTAAGAAGAACTTTCGAATGTTTCCTTTCCCAAACTTTCCAGCACAATACAACACTCAACACGTTAAACAAACGCTGGAGCATAATTACGTATGTCAAAGAAACAAAACTCATTATTATCTCCGGTTACACATAACTATTTACTAAACACTGAACAACAAACAATGATCTATCTACGCACAATGCAGTGTGCAACGTTTACGTGTACATATTATTAGTTCCTTAGTGTAATCTGAGCGAGAAGGATTGGTGCCGCGGCCGCTAGGTTCAACCCTAAAAGTTGGTTGAGCAGTTTTTATTAGAAAAATAACTACCAGATTTACAATTTTTTTTCTTAAGAAGTGGGGTTGGTTCGACGCAAGGATTGATACCCAGGCAGCATGTGGCCCTTGTGGGCTATTTCCTCGTGATGACAAGACATTCGACAGAAAACGTACCACAACAACGGACCACAAATCTAAACACACAACTACAACAACCACGGAACACGAACACACAAGCAAACTGGTATGTCCCTATAATAACAAGGAATGTGATCTAAGTGAGTGTATGTACTTATTGTTATGTATAGCTTAACTATTTAATACAAATGCTGATAAAGGACCCCACTTTGAGTAGAGGCATCACGTTTATGTCATTGTCACCGCGTTTTGACAATATCACCTAGTTTTTTGTTCGTATTGTAAAGCAACGGATTGAGGGAGTGACAGCGCGTGGAATCAGTGGCGTGATTGTTAAGAGAATTCGGGGTTTCAGGACTTCAGTGTAATTGAATAATAATCAGTCATCAGTGTAATATTCTAGAAGACTTCCGGCTCGCTTGACAAACCTGACCAAATTTATGGTTCCACTTGCATTTTGCAGTGCCACTGTTGAATCATTCCGAGTCAGTCAGCAGCAATGTTTAACCTCCACTGAACTTATTGTGACCCGTGCAGAATCTGCACTTCTGACGGAGGAATGAAATACCCAATAAGATTTATTCCTCCTCTGAGGCGGGTTCTCCTTAAACGAATGATTGGCAGCGCTGACCCTAAGGGCTAACCTCCTTCTATAGTTCTATGAGACAAGGCATGGTCTCAGCCTGCTAGTGCCAAACAAAATTCCCGTTAGACTAAACGATTTTCTAAAAATTTAAAGCGAGCTGAAAGTTCCTTATCACTTATCCATAGTTCCATCCGTAATGGAAGTTGCAGTTGTTTTTCCAGACCATTATTACAACATCTGCAGGAGCTTAAAACCAGAAAATTTCCATATAATTATAAATGTCAATATTAGGAAACATGGACCAAAACCACAAGACAGTTTCAGAAGATTAGCTTTACTAAACTAGAGGCGTGACCAATCCGATTCATTTTCAATTGATCGGCTTGGCCAGCAGATTACATTTTTTAGCCGATCGGCCAACTGTTACCAGGATGTAGCCAATTATGGCCGGAGTTGGCTACATCTTATTCTTTGTTACAGTAAGTAACAATCCTTTTTAGCGGATGTTTTTCGCTTCGGATTGGGATATCACGGAACAGTAATCGACTATTTGCAATATCTTTAGGAGCTCTTAAAACCAGAAAGTATAAGGATCCATAAAATAACTAATAAATAAGGTAAAAAACTAAAAAATAGTATCAGAAAAGTGAAGATCAGTGAAGTTTAGTGACGGGTATATAATGAGATTTAGTGTCGTAATGAGATGTATCGTGACATGTTTAGGTTTGAGATAATGGCTGGGATATAAATTTAAGGTAAGAGTTTGAGTTTGAGTTTTTTAAAGTCACGTAGGTTTGGTGAGTGGGTTTAAGTAAGAATCACACTAACGACTAATCAACACAGATAAACAATAAATGCTGTTACATTTAAACTTATATTTATAAAACGTAGTAGGTACGCGTCATCAAATAAAGAATGTTGTGTAATGAAAGATAATAGTTGTGTATATTTAATCCTCGCTCTGAATAATAATTCAATTACAGTAAAAAATTTATATACCGGGCCTCTCCGTGACCGTCTACACCTGGGGTGTAGACGGTTATACCTCGAGGTTACACTTACAGTTTTATAAGACCCCAATAAAACAATCATAAACACTGAAGCTATGTTGAAGTGACAGGCTGAGAACCTCCAGTATGCTTCTCGGGGAAAACGGAAAATACAGAGTATATAGAACAAATTCTGATATAGAGGTTCACATGATCCCAATCCCCAGTATCTGTAGCCTCTCAGATATAACCTTTCAAACGTCTCATAAGCTATTAAAGCTAATGAACTAATTCACTAATGAACTAAACGTTTGGGACAAATGACAAGTGATATGTGGTTACAACTTCGGCAGTAGTCAGCCTACTAGTATTATATAATATTTATAGGCTTGCTATATGGTATTTTCAAAAAGACGGGTAGATCTATCGTCTCTACAAGTAAGTATCGACAACTCTCCTATAGAACGCAAAACGGAGGCCAGGTTTTTAGGAGTTATCGTCGACGACAAACTAAAATGGGCCAGCCACATCCGAGCCGTCAAAACAAAAATGTCACGGTTTATAGGTATTATGTTCAAAATAAAACGCAAATTACCAATCAAAGCACGCTTACAGATCTTCCAAAGTTTTGTACAATCTCACTTAAATTTCTGTTCACTAGTTTGGGGCTTTGCTGCAAAATCCCATATTGAATCACTGTTCACTAAACAAAAGCAGGGAATACGAGCAGTTATGCCGGGCTACGTGAATTACTATTACAAGGACGGTAAGCTTCCGGATCATACTAAAACTACGTTTAAAGAGTACGAAATATTATCTGTACACGGGGTCATCATAAAAAATGCTCTGACTCTGATGCACAAGATAACTTACATGCCTGGCCTTCTGCCGTCGTCGATAAAAGACTTATTTCCTCCCGATATACCAAAGTATGGCACGTCTTATGACGACAATATCGACTGGCTAACAACTTTCTCTCAACCAGATCTACGCGCTAGTGTTCTGTATAAAGGTCCTATATTAGCTATTACCGAGCACAACATTAGTCGCATAACTTGCCCATCTAGCATTTTCTCAATAAGCATATATAAGAAATCAGCGAAGCGTGTAATGATAGAACTACAAAGCTCAGGAAACGATGAAGAATGGCCACCTTTTCTGTTACATAATTTACCCGGGCTACGTAAATCGACAAGATCAGGCACACAACAAATCAACTACCTAGAATAAACTAAGGAATAAATAAAACCAGACGGTTAGCACACTAGTCACTATCAACCATATGCCACTTTTTTCACTGCCCATTCACTGTCATATTAATAGCATCATATAGATAGCGCTAGCAGGTGCTGATAAGACATGGGCTCAGTTATTCTTTTTTGTTTTAACCTCAAGTAGCTTATAAAACAGTGCGTGTGATCATCTGTCGTATCAAATCAATTTAATTGTCACTATATGTTAATAAATCATGATATACAAGTTTTAATTTTTAAAGTTTCTGTTTTTGTTTTTAATGAATAGACGTAATCAACATTTTCAATTTTCATATTCACGCATATTAAATAAAATTATATTGTTATGTATTATATTATTTTGTAAACATTGGCCGGGTATAAAAAACCGGTCCCCAAACAAACAATATACTTATAGCAGGACTAAGGAAATCAAAGCGCAGCAATATCCGTAATGCTGCTTAATAGTTATTACCGTGGGCAGTAGGCACCTCCGCAAGCATTAATGAATCAATTTCACTGCATACCATCACAGTTAATACACTGTCAATAATTGACCATGGCAACCACCGATGGGCTTTGCGATCGATAACATTATTAGGATATGGGATATGATACAACTTTACAAACTGCAAATATTTAAATAACATTGGCATTCAAATACGTCATATTTTGGATTACATGGGCACCCCAGGCTATAATGTTCATAAAGATTCGGCGGAATGACAGGCTGAGCGCCGCCCAGTAAATTTGGATACCTTAGATACAGGCATGATATGGTGAATAATGGATGTGCCGTGAGAAGGTGTGTGTGGGAAGTGTGATAAGATAATGGTAGAAATGAAAAAAGTAATGCCAATGGGCAATAGAGCTAGAATATATGTAGAGATTAGGCTAAACTGTAAACTGTAATTTTGTTCTCATGATCCTTAAATAAAATGTTAAGACTAGATACGTTAGTGATTCCCTCCTCGCCTTCCCTTCTTCTTATAACGCTTCCTAGTGGTAGGGTATTTGCTACCAATAACATTAACAGGGTATTTGCACCCCTACCGAGAGAAAAATGGCGTCAAAACAACTACAGAGGTTCAGAAATCGAAGATTTGTCCTTTGTGAACAGCAAATATGAAAGGTTAACCACGTATGGCGTAAAATAAAGGAGGAAATATTGAGAAACTCTCGACAGATCTTTTAGTCTTACCTGGGGACCAGTAACCCAGGTACCGCCTAGTAACAGATCTACTACTAAAATAATAATGCCCCAAACAACGAAACAGAACACACCAGCTCTCACAACAGAAGCATGCAGTCCTTATAATTATATTCACAATATTAGGTCATACTGTCATAGTATGCCGTATGGTTGATTATTTGTGTGTAACATGAGATCGGACAGAGTATTACTTGTTAAGTACCTGTAATATTAATTATTATATTTAATTTAATCACCTATTAAACCAAACTGGTGATATAATAGTCTACGTGAAATCGTAAAATATCCTAAACTAATAATAATAGTAATATGTATTGACCTCTTCAATGTTCAAGCAAAGCAAAATGTGGAAAATTGTGAATATTTCAAATCGTAGGACTAATAGTAATAGGAGTTCATTATTTGAAAGATTTAAAGTGCACATCATACATGTAACTAATACCATACTGATACACCACTGGCACTACTCGAAGTTCAAATTTGCGATTCATCAGAATACGCTCACCTCTAATCACTAATGATATTTTATAAAAAGGAGGAGTCACTCGGTTTACCAGAAATTCCAAAGAATAAAAGTTTCATTGGTGTCGCAAAAGCAAAAGCGACACCAATGACATAATAATTTTTATTTTACTTTTCACTTTCAGTGGTCAGTGGTGAGTAGTAGTAGTACTAGTAGTAGTAGTACCAGGACTAGGAGACGTTTCATTTTCGAAGACCAATTTTCATGATCATTTATTTCATGATCATTATTATATATAGTTTTACTGACTACTATAATAATAATGTAGTATTAGTATTATAAGTATAACGCCTATGATTTGAACCCTTAACGATGAAAGAAACACACTACAGCAAAGTGCACCCAACGTAGACGCCAGCAGTTCTGCACTTGAGCGAGCAAAATTAAAGCATTGAGGAAATAAAGGATTATAAAAGGGAGCAAACCGTAAACAAAGGCAGCTGGGGGTCACTGCAATCAGAACACTATGCTCCACGCGACGTGGTCGGGCTCCAGGACCAATCACTGAACAGGGCTCAAATAACATATTATCTTAGTGACGCTAATTAGGGGGGACACTGTACATTGTAAATTTATAATTATAACCCAGTCCACTCCTACTACATAATATAATAACACGCGCGCGCGTTGAGTTGCTTCACAACTCGTCGACACTCGACGAGTTGTACGGGTATCACCACGTTAACACTAATATAGTGTACATACTAGATCATAGATAGATTGAGATAGAAGCACAGGGAGCTGAGCTGTCATTACCTGGGGACCTCGTCCTCAGGCTATCGTGTTCATAAACAAACCGAATAGAGATTAGGCGGAATGATGCAGGCTGAGCGCGGCCCAGTGGCAGTATGAGTAAAGCTGTCAACATATTATTATTAATTTTTTATAACAAACTCAACTCTACATATTAAATATTGTAGCGCGATCATGCTGGGGGGGAACCAACGGGCATTAATGGGCATTAATTGTTAATGGGCATTAATGGGCATTAATGGCAGTGGCAGTCTGTGCAAAATTTTAAAATACTGCCATTAATGCCCATAATTTTTATTCGCTTTTGAAACTTTGCATCATGCTGGGTCGCGCCGCCCATCAATGATCGATCAAATGCAAAGCTTCTCGCCCCGCCTTCAGTTTCATTATTAAGTTAATATTAATAACTAGAATAATGTCAATCATCAATGATGATTAATCTCGAAGTTAAAGTGTAGTGATTTATATATTATTTAGCTTACCTGCTAAAGCCTGGGACCCCAGGCTTTTATGTTCATAAACATAATAGATTCGGCGGAATGACAGTGGACAGGCTGAGCGCCGCCCAGTATGCAGTAATTATTTAGCACGCTCGGAGGATTTTAAGCAATGACGCACTTTAGAGTTTAGCGTCGCGAAAGCTTCTGTTCGCCTAACTGTTAAGTTTAGTGTTCGTACTACTACTAGTATAATATAATTTGCAATGCTGTGAACTTTTATACACTAATTATATCATGTCATGAAGATGTAACTAGGTGAGACCGAGCTAATAGTGCGCGGGGGATCTAGTAACGACTATTTGCTCGGTCTCACCTAGTTACATCTTCATGACACTTATAATACTGGCAACTGATCAAACTATGGAAATCTAATAAGCGATCAAGAAAACAAACGCACTTTTAACAAATTCAATGTAAAACTATGGATATATTTAACAGGAGCATATCTATAATATTAATTCATGACAGCGAATATAATAATTATTATTATTAAGTAATTTTATCAAACTGCAAACTTTGATTAAAAGTATATAACTAACTCAAAGTTAAAAGGATACTCGCATTCAAATAGATATAATACATTGCTAGCATTGTTAAGCATGAAGATTCAATATTGCAGCTTTTCAACGAAAACTTTATTATTATTATGTCAAAAGTGGAAAAAAGTTAACAGTAGTTTCAATAATAGCAATAGATTGATAAATTGTTTTGTTGGACTGTACACCTATGCTTTATACTTACAAACATGTTCTTTCATTCACACACATTAGATTTAGACAATATCAGAACTTTTTAACAACATCGCAAAAAAAACTTCGCTTGCACCGACTGAATTCAGGGACTTGGAAGAGAAAAAACAACAACAAATGCTCATATTGTCAAAAAACGATCTCGTATGCGTTGTTGCCACGGGAATAAAATGCAAATATTGGATTAATCCAAAAGTTGTTTTCATCCAGGGCAAGATACTTGAATCATGGGCTTCATCTGTAAAGATCTGAAAATCCGGAAAAAGACAAATTTCAAACAATTCCACTTCGGGATCATTAACATATTACGGAAGCAAGATTTTCTTAATTGTATGCTCCCCACCATCTTGTGATAAAACTGTCACAATGGCAAAACTGAAAATATGTTGCTAAACAAAAATCTAATTTGAAAAAGAGAATGTAATTTTGTTCTTTTATTTAACCTTGTACGAACTTAAAGTAATAATTGTTGCTGACGTCAGCAAGGACACCCTCACCCAGTCAGCAACAGTAATCTAAATGCCTAGATCCCCTACTCCTTTTGGCTGATTACCTAATATGTGAATCCCTAACCAAACTCTACACTTAATTTACAAGATTTTTATAGAACATCAAATGCTTCCTTGGCAAACATCCAGATTTTGGTAGATGAAAAGCTTCAAATAATTACAACAGTCAATCGCTCTTATCTACAGAGATAACGTTTATTAGAAAAAAGAGCACGTTGATTTTTCTATTGTTTTGCTCGAGTGTGTTCGTCCGTGTCAACAATAACGATGTTCTTTGCTGCAGCTAATAACTGTACCACTGATATTACGCTCTGAAATGAAAATAATAATAATAAATCGTAGTTTACTTTCTAAATTTTCCAACAATTTGAATAAAATTAAGGAAAAAAATGAGACGACCGTATGCATACTAGAATAATCAAACTATATGAGCATAGTTACAGATCCATTCTCAAACCACGATGTGACATCTTCGGATAAACCATTTTTACATCCAGGAGGCAGAAAACGTTTTTTTAAAGTTTAATCACGTTCATCAACAAAGCAAGACCTACCTTGAGACCATAACCGGTGCACAGCAGATAACTACTGATCTGAAGAAACCGTAACCTCCGAAATTGGGACCTTCACTAAAGTAAAGTAGGTAGAGGGCCGCGAAGAATAACTCGTTTCCTGGGAGAGAGAACAGTGTAAATAACTCAAGTAATTAATTTTTGCATCAATAACTCATGAGTTCCGGACTCTACCGAGGTGAGGTTTGTGGGCGCAAAAATTAGGCTTAGGGTTTGGATATGACATATTATGACAACGTTTCTAAATAGCTCACGCAGTAGTCCCGGACCTTTTTCTTCTAGGTTCCTCCAAGTTCAATAGATAAATAATGACATAAAGATTAATAGAGTTATACTGTACCTGCACACATTGAGAAGAGAACGGTTCTGTTTTGGTAGTAGTAATACAGTATCGGGTTAGAGGACAGGTCTATAGTTTTGTGTGAGGTGGAACCTGAGGGGGGCGGTATAAAATAATAAATTTGGAAAGGTTAGTTCCCCCCACTAGCTTTTACTGTTTTACAACAAAGTTTAAGTTTGTAACATTATTCTCCGTAATTATGAGATAATCCTAGTTAAAGAAGATCCCTCTGTCAATTCAAGATCTTACCTGTGTAGTGAGAAGCAGTGAGATGAAGCCAGTGCGATGCAATGTCCAGGACTGCGTAACATTGGAAGAAAAAGAACCAATCTTTGTACAGAAGGCCCAGAGCCATAACCAGCCCTAATGTGCTACATCTGATAATAAATATTCTGTTATTAACCTGTCAACCTGACACGTGATAATAGAAGTGTGATATTGAGTTAAGTGAATGGCCAAAAATTGATCGTTTCTCATGGCACATGTGTGGCAAACCTTTTTAAAGTCTACAAATTTCGATTCCAGAAAAACAACCTGGATTTAAAAGCTCCCGCCAACCTTGGTGCGGGGAATATAAATATCAGACAAACCTGTCGGTGAGCATGTCTAACATTGCACCCAGTTTTGAAGTCTGGCCGAGCATTCTGGCGGCGTGACCGTCAAACGCGTCCAGCAGCTGACTCAGCAGATAGCAAGTCACGGTCACATGATACATCTCGGCATTTGTCATAAAGTAGAAAGCGACAAACATGAGCGCAACTCTGGCGTATCCGATGAGGTTCGGGACAAAAAGATAAACGTTGGGTTCCGTTGAAGCCATCTCCGTACTATCCATTATTTGAGAGATAAGCGGTTAGATAAGATGGGATTTGCTAAAACTTGAGAGATTTTAGTACGAAAAGTCGTCGTCGTCGTTGAATAGTATGAAATAAGCAAGGATGGTACTGAACATAACAGTGTCAGCACCAATCAATAGCCAGAGAGCTCCTCGGGCGATCTGAAAAGGAGAAAAACGTAAAAACACTAAAAAGTACAAGCAACGTTCTACACTTGAATACTGGCGAGAAAGCAATCGAGGAAAAACTAAGATTACTCTTGACATATTAGTATTCTATTGTATACGTTGCATTGTAGATCGTAAGTTAATTAATTAAGTCATTACGAACAATATGCACGCCCTATAATTGCACTCCCAAAATGTCTTAAAGCTCAACGTTAGAAGAACTATCTCTAAGTCGTATGTTGCCCTTCCTAAACATTCCAGTACAATTATACTTGACAAACGACACGTTAAACAAAAGCTGGAGTATAATTACAGATGTCAAAGAAATAGAGCTCCCTATTATCTCCGGTCACACTATTTAGTAAACACCGAACAACAAACAATGATCTACGCACAATGCAGTGTGCAACGTTTACGTGTACATATTATTAGTTCCTTAGTGTAATCTGAGGCGAGGGAGGATTGGTACCGCCAGGTTCAACCCCAAAAGTTGGTTTTTATTAGAAAAACAACTACCAGCAATTATTACACATTTTTCTTAAGAAGTGGGGTTGGTTCGACGCAAGGATTGATACCCAGGCAGCATGTGACCCTTGTGGGCCCATTTCCTCGTGATGACAAGACATTCGACAGAAAACGTACCACAACAACGGACCACAAATCTAAACACACAACTACAACAACCACGGAACACGAACACACAAGCAAACTGGTATGTCCCTATAATAACAAGGAATGTGATCTAAGTGAGTGTATGTACTTTGCATACCTTAACTATTTATGCCCACCCGGATTCAACCGTTTCCGCGTGAAGCCGCACCAATTAAAATTATCTCTCGAACAAGCAAATACACATGCACTGCACGAATTGGAATACAAAAAATGACGAGCAACTCAACAAAAGAATTGTATGTTGAGTAGAATTCACAATAGAGATGCAGACTTGAGCGACGAGCGTGTGTATCACCTGATATTCGACTTATCGAGCTTCAGAATGCTCGACGTCAGATTCATGAGAACTCCTCGTAGCGTAGAGCTAACTATGTGCGCGGCTTTGCGCCGCGCAATACAAATGCTGATAAAGGACCCCACTTTGAGTAGAGATATCACGTTTATGTCACCGCGAGCGACAGTCATGACAATATCACCTAGATTTTTGTTCGTATTGTAAAGCAACGGATTGAGGGAGTGACAGAGCGTGGAATCAGTGGCGTGATTGTCAAGAGAATTCAGGGTTTCAGGATTTCAGTGTAATTGAATAATAATCAGTCGTCAGTGTAATATTCTAGAATACTTCCGGCTCGCTTGACAAACCTGACCAAATTCATGGTTCCACTTGCACTTTACAGTGCCACTGTTGACTCATTCTGAGTCAGTCAGCGGCAATGTTTAACCTCCACTGAACTTATTATGACCCGTGCAGAATCTGCACTTCTGACGGAGGAATGAAATACCCAATAAGATCTCTTCCTCCTTTGAGGCGGGTTCTCCTTAAACGAATGATTGGCAGCGCTGACCCTAAGCCCTAAGGGCTAACCTCCTTCTATAAGATCTAGTGTAAACCGTACATTAATTTGGTCTCTACCTATAAAGGAGATATAACTAATATCAGTAGAACTAAAAGCAGCAAGGGTATTGTATCCTTCTTAAATGCAAGGCTGCAGATTGCTGACGTAATATCATGACGTCACATACAATGCAGACCCTCATCTCAGCCACATTTATACATATCAATTTAATACAATCAAATCTTCAGTACAATAAAATATTTTCAAATATGTGACATAACCCCAGGTACACAACACTAGGTACCAGTGACTGGAAAACATGGCAGGTGTGACCACTGTAAAGCACTGATTGACGATAAACAAACTGAAACTGGATCCTAAAATAATAGTCCTTGAGCCCTCACTGAAAGTTACCGAACAATAAAACTGAAAATCACTGGATTGAAGAGCAGCAGAGTGTGAAATAAGTGGCATGATCGGAGGCTGGCTTTTAGATGATAACATGTACACTAATGTCAGTGTAATTGAGTGAGACGCGAAGTTAGGGCATATCTGAAGTTGGATTATCAGGGTGATCTTTAGGAAGGGTTTGTAACCGACACCAATTAAGCGAATAAAGAATATTCAATGTACGTTTAGACAACTTACATACGTTAAGACTACTTACCTATCTTATCTACGACACTGTGTTACACACTAGATTACACACTAAAATACGAAACAACTATAAGGGATCAGACAATTCATTTTAACCTGAAGATAAAGAATACTCACAGTTTGATGATGTGCGAGGACGACCACAAAACCTGAAATGGAAACGATAACAACCAGTTTATAACGTCGAGGGGTCTACAACTTTAGAGGGGTCTACAACTTTAGAGGGGTCTACAACTTTAGAGGGGTCTACAACTTTAGAGGGGTCTACAACTTTAGAGGGGTCTACAACTTTAGAGGGGTCTACAACTTTAGAGGGGTCTACAACTTTGCAGAATAAACCAAAACCTAAGCAGCCCCAAAATAGCACACCTTTTGAAAATAAGAAATTGACTCTTGTATGTCCAATAAACACCAGTGTGCCAAGTAAGTTAGAATTGGGATCTTTTAAAGTTAATTGGTTTTTGTGCAACTAGGCGCACATTGCACACCGTAATTTTAAAGTGAGTATAAGTTATTTAAGCATTTGCTGTGTAAGTATGATAAAAAGTATGGTAAAACTCTTCTTAAGTTAATAAAATTAAAGATGTGATAATATAAGAAAACAACTATAACTATAAAATATCTGAAGAAAGTAATAAATTATAAAGTAATAAATAAGAAACGTACTGCAGCTGGAAACAAATAAAACTGCAATTCTAGAGACAAAACTAATGTTACACGTTTAACTTGATAAACGTTATATCATACATTGGAGGGGTCCTGGTATAAGCAACACGACAGGTTATTTCTTTCAGAAGCTTTCAAATTACTTATACATAACTGAACTCGCCCCGATTTTCTGAACACTGAACTCGGCTCAATGTTTAACAGGACTCGTTTCAATTTGTCGATAGATTGTTGGTTTTTATACCTAAGGTTGTAAAAATTGTGCGGGAAGTTCCAAATTGTGCGGAAAACAACTGTTAGTGCGAATATGTGCAGGAAAAAGACTAAAACTTCGATTCCGCAGCGCCGCACTTGTGTGTTGCCTATGCACTACTTTAGTCAGTTCATATCTTTTTTTAGATTGACAGCTCCCAAATGAACCCTCTCTGTACAATGTACATGACAGAATTAAACCAGACTGGTGACAGTCACATATTCTAATTTCTAAAACATAGTAACATATACTAAACTAATGTGTAATAACCTCTCCAAGTAAAGCAATATGTGCTAAATTGTAATTATTTCAAAACGAAGAAGTTCGTTTACTCTAGTAGCAGGGAATAGTTGAGTGTGCACTTCGATGTGTACTATTTCTGACAACACAGGGTTGTTTGTTAGGTCATTCTTAACCAAAATCGTGTGGGTGCACAATTTGTTTCGCTAGAGACAACCCTACAGGGCAAATTTTCTAAATTACCCTCAGTCGCGTATACGAGATTTTCGTATTTCGGCTCCTGAAGGTCATAGGGACTTCAATTTTAGCTTAAAATTACCGCAATAGCCATATTTATATACAACTTATGAAGCAACATAAGGTCTCCAGTGCTTTGTTTTATAGATATTGACAAAACACTGTTTTTTGGCTCAGCGAACCAAAAATGGGACTGAATTTTGGTAACTTGAACTAGGAAGATCGTAGAGACTTGAATTTTAGCTTAAAATGAGCGCAATCATCATATTTATATACAACTTATAAAGCAATATAAGCCTTTTAATGCTTATTTGTTAAGATATTGACAAAAATCGGTCATTTTGACTACACGCGTGAGGAAAAATACCAAATTGGGCAACAACTTTGGTCTTTTTTTTAACCAGTTTTGTGCTCAAGTTATTAAAATGTGCTTTGATGTTGTAGATCGGGTGTTTTCTTCCAATATGGGTTTCGGTATAAATCCGGAAGCACCCGGTTCATGGGTGATAGGGGTTAAAAACCCTAAAATGTCAGGCGATGGGCGAGACAATTGTCTGAATTTGGTTATAAACACACTTGCACTCTTTGCTAGGGTTTGCTTTTTTCTGCTACATCGATCCGATTTCTAACTACTAATCATCCCCCTCTACATCATTCTCTTTTAGATACATGATTTCTATAAGTTCTTGAAGGTACATCCGGCATGATGTAAAGTCTATATCAAAGCATTTTAATGTGGTCTTAACAAGTTGCAAGATATTCAAGTTCACTAATAAAACAGAGATTGTAGGATATTCTTCTTTTACATATTGAGTAATTGTGGGCTTTTTGAGGGGAGGCTATAAAATGGTCAAATATAACTTGAACGTAAACGACCCAATAATAATATTAAACGTAGAATGAAACTACTTAAAACTTATACAGATTCATGGTGTCCTGTTTCAAGACGCTTGCTCCTGATTTTTAGCAACAATATCAACTGACCCCACGACGTTGTAATATAATTGTGGGTAGGCAATCATTTGATCCATAAGTTTTGAACGGTAGTTTGTAAAAATAATTACATTCTACAAACATTATACGCTCCTACTATGCAATTACTAGCCTCTGGACTAACTCCCAATCATCTGTCCATATAATGGTGTTTCTGGACAGATAGATGGTGTATGATGGCCTTTTTCTCTTTAGTGTTTACGTTCAGGTGGTTCATAAAGGTTTGGAGGCTGCAGTTGTAAATGCCTCGAACTCGAACTCGAACTGCTACTGTCTGGAGCTTGCAATCTCTTCTGTCAGCTGCTGATATCTCTTAATATTCTTTTCTCTTGATCAGCAAAGTTCTCTTTATTTCAGATGCACCTTCTTCGCTTTATCTGAATAGATTACTACATCTGGTCTCAGTGGTATTACACTAATGTAATGTCTAACAATAACGTTTATAAGTGCTAAAATTTCGAACTAGCGGACCATATTCGGAGGAGAAATTTGGGGCAGTTTTTTGCTTGGAAATACTGATTTAATCGAATTTTAACCACAAAATGACTCCCAATAATATTCTTATGGAGAGTGTGGATAAATATTAAATATTTAAAATAATACAGGTTTGACTATAAAGTTGCGTCAATAATCATGTAAAGAATAATAGATAACCTACAATCTTCGTTTGGTAAACCAATTTGGTATCTTTCCTCACATGTGTAACCAAAATTACTCAATAATCAATATGTAAAAGAAGAATATCCTACAATCTCTGTTTTATTAGTGAACTTGAATATCTTGCAACTTGTTAAGACCACATTAAAATGCTTTGATATAGACTTTACATCATGCCGGATGTACCTTCAAGAACTTATAGAAATCATGTACCTAAAAGAGAATGATGTAGAGGGGGATGATTAGTAGTTAGAAATCGGATCGATGTAGCAGAAAAAAGCAAACCCTAGCAAAGAGTGCAAGTGTTTTTATAACCAAATTCAGACAATTGTCTCGCCCATCGCCTGACATTTTAGGGTTTTTAACCCCTATCACCCATGAACCGGGTGCTTCCGGATTTATACCGAAACCCATATTGGAAGAAAACACCCGATCTACAACATCAAAGCACATTTTAATAACTTGAGCACAAAACTGGTCAAAAAAAGACCAAAGTTGTTGCCCAATTTGGTATTTTTCCTCACGCCTGTAGTCAAAATGACCGATTTTTGTCAATATCTTAACAAATAAGCATTAAAGGGCTTATATTGCTTTATAAGTTGTATATAAATATGATGATTGCGCTCATTTTAAGCTAAAATTCAAGTCTCTACGATCTTCCTAGTTCAAGTTACCAAAATTCAGTCCCATTTTTGGTTCGCTAAGCCAAAAAACAGTTTTTTGTCAATATCTATAAAACAAAGCACTGGAGACCTTATGTTGCTTCATAAGTTGTATATAAATATGGCTATTGCGGTAATTTTAAGCTAAAATTGAAGTCCCTATGACCTTCAGGAGCTGAAATACGAAAATCTCGTATACGCGACTGAGGGTAATTTAGAAAATTTGCCCTGTAGGGTTGTCTCTAGCGAAACAAATTGTGCACCCACACGATTTTGGTTAAGAATGACCTAACAAACAACCCTGTGTTGTCAGAAATAGTACACATCGAAGTGCACACTCAACTATTCCCTGCTACTAGAGTAGTTATTTAAAAGAAATCAAAGCGCACATGTAACTTGGCAAAATATTTGTCCAATGATATTTTATAAAAGTGAGGAGTTACTCGATTTACCAGAAATTCTAAGGAAAGAAAGTTTCATTGGTATCGCGAAAGCGAAAAGAAAGAACAAATAATATGACACCATTTTCATTGTACTTTTTTCAGTGTTGACCCGGAACCGTTTCAAGTACTGATTATCATAATCATCTATTTCATATCTACTGACTACAAGAGCCCATGATTTGAACCCTAAACGACAAAAGAAACGTACTTTAACAAAAGTGCATCAGTGAGCAGTTCTACACTTGAACGGGCAGAACTAAAGAAGAACTTGAAGAAATAAAGGATTATGAAAGGGAGCAAACCGTGAACAAAGGCAGCTGGGGGTCACTGCAATCAGAACACTATGCTCCACGCGACGTGGTCGGGCTCCAGGACCAATCACTGAACAGGGCTCAAATAACATATTATGTTAGTGACGCTAATTAGGGGAGACATTGTACACTGAGAGAGATAGAAGCAGGAGCTGTCAACATATCAACAAACTCAACTCTACACTACAACTAATAAGCGAGAAAGAGAGCAGTTATCCAGGTTGCTCTCAGCAATCGCATTATAGAACACCCGATTATACCTTATTTGGTCAGATTGCGTAACCTTATATGGTAACACGTACCTCACTTTTACCATATTGGGAGAGAATGTGTTACATTTGTCACGTGGCAGAGTAACCAAGCGCTTGTAGATCAACGAGATTAAAGGTTGCATGGCAAAACTACTAATATCACGAAGAAATGTGGTTACTGTATCTAAGCAGACTAAAAGCCCGGTTGAAGACACGTATGATGTAACATTGTTGCTCTTTTGATGCTGCTGCAGATCTGCGATTCAAGTAAATAATATAATAAACCACAGATTTACCGCAGACTTATAACTAGTCCTCCTGTAAAACAACAAATATAAAGAAAAGGAATTACACTCAACACAAAACGCACACGCCCAATGGTGTGCCAGATAAAAAGGAACCGAAATAAAGTATTAAATTACGACTAATCTCCTGGCGAGTGGCCTAACAAGGTTTCGTGACATCATAAAGTGGTGAAATGTGGGTGTAATGTCCCCTGAGATTACAGGACAGACACACTTGTAGGATTACGTCATAACTTTCACAGACTTGTAGGATTACGTCATAACTTTCACAGACTTGTAGGATTACGTCATAACTTTCACAGCCAAGAATATACGTTCAAATTGGATTTTTGTAGTGCAGGAGTAAATTTTCGTATGATTTGGAAAATGCCGTTTAGATGACACTTCAGTTTAATGTAGATTAAAATTATAGAAAATCAGCTATATAACCATAAAGAAAATCTAATTGAAAGCGTTAAAACGGCGCCGATCCGAGGTATTAAAAGACATAAGCTTATGTATGATTTCTTAAAACATTAACAAATGAAACGCAGGTTTGCTATACTGAATACTAATTACACTGGGGACTGCGAACCAGCCAGTTTCAAGCTAGTCCATTGTGAGCTGTCAAGTAGATCAATTAAGAAGTATCATTAACTAGACTGCACTAATGCAACTACTACATAGCTTGGCAAGGTTAAATGCTAAAATTGTTAATAAAATTGAAGATGTTATAATATAAGAAAACGACTACAGTTATAAAATATCTGAAGAAAGTAATAAATAAGAAACGTACTGTAAGGGACTGTAACCAGTATAACAAGGAGTAAAAGAGAACAGAGTCTCGCTCTTATTCAACACTAAAATATGTAAATTGTAATTCTGAAGAATTCTAATACACAGATGGTCTGCACATTGACCTGCATTTTATAAAGTAGAGGCAGCTCCATTCTCCACTTAGGTCTTTAGAACTAAGTTCCGAGCCCAAAAATTCAGACTGGGAAAATCGCCCTTGTGGTCACGCTCATTTGTTTTAAATTCATAATTATCTATCTCGTAGAGACTTTTCTGTAGGCTCAAATTAACTGTTATTGGCCAAAAACTGATTTTGGCCACACACTGACCAAATTTTGCTTACTTTTGATAAAAAACATGCTGGATTCTAATTCTAGATGCGTTGAAACTAACCGCAGGGCCGGGGAGTGACGGGGTAAACCGGTGAGCGAAAAGTGATATAGAGTAAAACTTTGTAACTTCCTACACTTTTCAAAAAATTTTCCGGATAATTTCAACAGAGAAACTGAATTTCCGCTAGAATAAAATAATTCTGAAGCGTTGCTAATTGTTGTGAATTAGAATATTAATTCAGCTCCATGATATTATATTTCATCTTAGTGTAAGTTCCAACCATAAAGTGACTGACGTCTTTAGATCAGCGACGTATGATTTATCTTGTGAACAATTAAGTGATCGGAAAATTTGCTAAAGCAAACACTAGAAAGAAAGGACAAGTCATGATTAACAACATTTACATTTAATTATCAATGCTGATCAGCTGATTAGATCATTGTAAAAGGTAGAATTAGCAACTCCATGAGGGTTGAGCCTTGAGGCTTGGTAACCTTCCAGCAAGACAAATTTAGAGAATAAGACACTACATGTACCTTTTCAAGGTCCTAAATATGTATTCCGAACATAAATCTTCTGAATTTATTACAATGTTTTACTTTGAATCACAAAAGCTTTTGTTAAAGAAGCTAACATACATGTATGTGCATAACTGAATTACTTGATGTGTTTAATGAATGTAACGGTTAATGGATGTACTTAATGAGGTAACTTAAGAAGGATACACGTCGTGTGTTTGGTATTCTGTGCGTGGATTATTACTGATAGTTTTGAGTGAGCTGCTAGCAGGATTGATTGTAGAGAAGGGGAGGTGAAGAAGCTGGCGAGGGAGAAGCCCACTATTTTGAGTGGATATACTTGTTGGGGGAGTTGGAGTAAGGTATAGGGTGGTTTTACAGAGCATCTAGACTCTAGAGGAGATTGGCATCTGGCGTTATCTTGTCGCAAATTGCAAACTCTAACAGGTATCTTCAAATGAATCTCGGATCAGATGGTTGTCTAACTATATATGAATATAACACAAATGGGCGTGGCCAAAAGGGCGAATTTCCCAGTTTAATTTTTTGGCTCAGAATTTTTTGTTCTAAAGACCTAGGAGAGGCTCCAAAACTTTTTCAGCCCTCTATTATGAAATGCAGGTAAACATATCATTTCGTTCACAACTGACCAGACTAAGAAAATAAAAGAAAAATTGAAGAATATAGCGTCACAAAAAATTGAGAAGAATAATACATAGTGTTTACAGTACACTACGATGTAGAATGTAATTATAATATTAAGTCTATTAATAATACGCACCGTAAGCTGAGATAACAAGAAATGAGGTAAGAAAGAGGGCAACTTCAAAATACGTACCGTAAGCTGAGATAACAAGAACAGAGGTAAGAAAGAGGGCAACTTCAAGACCACAGTTAGAGCCAGAGTAGGAAGTCTCGCTGTACCGTTGAGTTAAACTGTACGGTATGGGAGCTAATATGTAGAATATCACTGAAATATTATGTAGATAATCAAAGATATTTGTAGAAAATCACTGAAATATCTCATAATTCTTGTATTTTTAGCATGATAGGTCACTAATTACTAAATCTCTGAGGGGTTGAGGATGAGCTGTTTTCCTAACATAATATCATCCATACTGTTAAGGAATAAACGAGTAGGTTAATTAGGTTAATTAAGGAAATTCACTCACCAACAAACGCAGGCCACCAGTTGCTGAAAGAAATGTTTGGTGAACGCTCATACATATATTTTAATGGTGATAAATGCACTGTTAAAAAACATTCCTTCGTAAAAAATGCCACATACTGATGTGTCAAACGGGTGTCAGGACCTGTCTACATGTTTTACTTACTGATAGAGAGCACAGCCAAGGGAAAGTAAGAGTACTCCGACTGAGAACGAGAAGGACAGTCCTATGATACCTGAAATATCGGGGGTTTTTCAAAGTTATATAACTATATTACTTTAATTTAGTCAGTTAGAGGAAGCAAAATGAAATTAGGTAATCTTATCATGTGATAAAATAACAAGCAGTGCAGCCCTCAGATTTATTATATTTATTGTCATGATGAGATTGATGACGCGATGACGCTATTACAGTGTAGTACTATACTATTATGATCATGCAATGAAAAAGAGTACAGCAGCGAGCTAAATTTAAATGAAAAACCACATTTCTAGAACTTACCACTTATAGTGGATCGCATCGCATCTCAAGGAGCGTATACCTATTCGAAAGAGAACACCATTAAATAAAGAATATGTGGGTAGGTAGATTATCGATAGACGATGTGTATTAAAATCCAACATTTTCACCAAACCGGCTTTTTAATAATAATTCAAGCAGATGATGGAATGGGTTGCCATTTCGTGCACTATTCAAGGTATACGAAGTAAAGCTGTCCACGTCCCCACCTAAGTGTCATTGAGACAACAGATTCAGAAATCTAATCTACCGCCTACAAATTCAGGGTAAAAAGACAAAAATCTATTTTGATTAGTTTAAAAAGGATGATGAAGCACTACATAGAATATTAGCCCAAAATATCAGCAACACAGGCATTACTCGATTGACTAGTAAATCCGCGGTAAAATGATCGAACTACAACAAGAGGTACAATATCGAAGTACTGAAGTCAAAGGTGCTTCTTGGCGCTCGATTCTAAAAGTGCTTTTTCAAGAAATTATTGCAACTGTACGCTGTACGCGCGGCGGGCAAACAAAATAATTGAAGGACGTCGCCGCTAAAATGCGCCGCGCGCATTATATTATCAATTATCATCAATCATCCTTGCTTTTATTCAAGAAAGGAATAAATACTTTTAACGGTTAAATAATCCAAGCACTACATGATAATCAGATAATATTGTTACAGAACTACAATATATAAATATTGGTATTATACTATTCCCTATTTAATTGGTATTATACTAAAAAAACATTTTTGTGCAATCAAACATAATAACATGAAATACAAAATTTGTTTATAATCAATTTTACATTTGAAAATATTTTGTAGCGTTTACAACCTACCAGGACGCACGCCGAGTTGGACTCGGAATATGGAACAGATATTTTATTAACGGGTGATACTTTGTATCACGTTGTGACCCCCACGGTCGTTTCACTATGGTGCTGACGATACAGGGGGAGCCGCGCACTTCGTGCGCGGCGGGTCATACAACGTATGACAAGTGATACTCGTATAATATCTGTTCCATAGTCGACGAGTCCAACTCGGTGGGCGTCCTGGTAGGTTGTAAACCTACGAATATTTTACGAGTATCACCCGTTAAAAATATTAAAATGTGTTTTACAAAATGATTAATATTTTTAAAGTACGCATTTTTGGGAAAAAATGTTTTTCAGTTTTTAGAAGTTTAGTCTTTGACACACGAGAAAAGTATTAATACTTTTATCACTACTATATAACAAATAATTTGAGCATGAATACGAAGTTGTTACTTTGAAACGTCGTTAATCCTAACAGTACAGTATCATTTGTCGCAATAAATCAGAATAATCAGAAATTATTTGGAACTGCCAAAAACTATTCATTGTTATAATGCGACTAATAAATAATTTTCCAGTCCGTAAATCTTTGATTTGTAACTTAGCTCCATCTATTGTTTAATTATAAAATCCTTTTTGTACATTGTACAGATTGTAAGATCGTTGCTCTGCGAAGCAAGAATGCTAGTTTGCGCGGCGCGTCGAAGCGGCGAAGTCCTCCAAGTAAAAATTAACCAAAACAATTTTAAAACGACTAAAATATCGCTATTACAGTGACAGACTTTTCAAAATTGAGAAAACTTTCCAAAAAGAAAATATTTTTCTTCGAAAGTGCGTACTCTCAAAAAAAAAGTTCAATGTACCAAATCTTATTGTTTTTATTAATAATTTCATTACCTGGGGACCCCAGGCTATATAAGTGAAACTTAGTAAAATATATTTAGTAAAACGACAATGGTGGTCGCAATGTGATACAAATATGTTTTATATAAAAATAGAAGGAAGAGTTAAAATCGTCAATCAATCAAATTTAGCAGGGGTACAGTGCAGTGAGCACAAACAGCAAAGATCAAAGATGCATACAAAAAATCTGCTGCCTAAGGCAATATGTGATTTGGACCTTAACCGGATCTACACTATACTCAGATTTAAATATTCATTTTAAATTTGCTTTAAGATTTAAGGCTTATTCTAACGAAAGTGTATTTTCCAGGTTGCAGGGGTTTTGTTCAATAATATGGGTTGTTCTGTAAATTACAAAGCTGGTTTTTATAAATTTTACCACAATTTCGAATCCTCTTTTCTATTTTGGAGCAAATGACGAAGTTATGCAGTTTGGTCTGTCAATTTGAGGTCTCCTAGATTTGTTTATGTAAATTTTGTAGATATTTTACTGTACTAGTTTATATTGTATACAAATTTACGGACGAAATGATCCCAGGTGGGACTCCCAACCCACCGCTTCGGTGGGTAGTTGATGCACCGTTCACAAGCAAGAGCCACTTTGGTCTTCTTGCTGTGAGGTGTTTCAGCTACATGGGTTGGCCCCCCCCCCCTTTTTCTTTCTTTTTTGTTGTTGTTGTTTGGTCTGTCAATTTGAACTTGTATTGGAGCCACAAGGTCAAGGGTAAATTTAAAATGTTTTTGCCAATATTTTAGTTGGGGAATATATTGAATTTTTTAAGGTTTCATTTTATATAGGGTCATTGTGATATTATGTGTATACTAGTGTAACCCGTGCCTACGGCCAGGACTTCACAATCGCAGTTGAAATGCAAGTATAAACCCGCCTATTATATTTGAAAACACGAATAACATTGTCGTATGAAAGTATGAACTCTCTCTACAATCCAAACAGACCTCAATGAGTTTCACCTCCCCTAATAAGCTTATAGTATTATATGACATCGAATATCGAGGCTGAACTAATTATGATTTATGTACCAACGTTGCCTATGCAGTAATGGGAAAGAGAGCGAGAAGGGAGAAAAAGTGATCCATTTTATGTCACATTTGTGGTACAAAATGTGACATAATAAAAGAAACCTTAATCAAAACACCTTATTAACATGGTTGGTAATTGATTGGCAGAGAAAATCTTTCTTTGCGTTTGTTTAAATAGATCCCTCATCCCTATAATGTTGTTGTCTTAAAGGGGGCAATGCAGGAAACAAAGTTGAAATAATTATCATTATTTTATATAGAAAAGTTGTAATTCTTTTTACTCAGTGGTCTCAAATCTCTATCCCTGTATTGCTCATTCCTTTGCAATTTTTCAGGTGAAGTTTATCATCTAATGGTCTATGGAGCTTGAGTATGGTACAGACTACAGCTACTGGTATCAAGTTAACGAAAAGAAACTACATGATACTGTACAAGCTAGCTTTAAAAAGCACCACTATGATGATGAGACTGAGAAATTCATAGTTGATGTTTGCAACATTTCATATTTCAAACATATTTTCGACAACACCATGTCCATATTTCTCTTACCATTTGTAAGTGCAACATCCAGAAATGCTTTACTGAATCGTGGAATAATGTTTGTGGCTTCAACAGAACTTTTTGCTGAGATGCTGGCTTACACTGGCAAGTATGAAAGTTTGCTTGACATTGGTGCTGGCTGTGGGAATGTCACGATAAAGTTCTCCAGCTTGTTTAAGGATGTGTTTGTTACAGAGACTAGCCCAACTATGCGTCAAAGATTACAATCTAAAGGATTCACAGCATTAGAGGTTGAAAATTGGAGTAGCAGAACGTATGACGTAATATCTTGTCTTAATGTTTTGGACCGATGTCATGAACCAATGAAGTTATTGGAAGACATTCGTGACTGTTTGACACCAACTGGGGGGTCTGCGTTGGTTGCTCTTGTACTACCTTACCATGGATCAGTAGAGGAAGGACAGGTTTGGCAACGTCAGCGCCAACCATTGCCAATCAAAGGGGCAACTTTTGAAGAACAGCTCTCATCACTTGTTGTTGACATTTTAGAACCAATGGGATTTGAGCTTAACTTGGCAACCAAAGTACCCTATCTCTGCAGTGGGGATCTACAAGCAAGATATTACTCTCTTTCAGATTGTCTTCTGTCTTTGAATGTCAGACCGTCAACAACATCAAGCAAAGGTAACTCAATCGGATCAGATTAGCAATTAGAAATTTCTGATATATTCTAACTTAACTGTGTTACGCTAATTATGTAGGTGAATAATGATTGATTATCAAATATTTAATTTAAGTTTTTACAATGTTTTTAATTATTCATGAGCGTAATATTGTAATATTTATAAATATAATCATTGATCCAGTTATGCAATTAAGTGTTGATCCTTTATAAGCACTAGCAGGAACCCGTCTAACCCTAAAGTGGTGTCAAGACTCGAGAGACTAAAATAATTATTACCTATTTAATTCGCGTTTTTGACACCACTTGAGAGTCCAAATTTTGGGCACTAAAATTATTATTCCTTGGCCAATTTTTTATTTTTTCATGCTGATTTGAAGGCCATTAAAGCATTTGACCCAGTCAAAAAAGTTTCAGTTGTATATGTTTTACGGTTTTTGCGGAAAGTCGCGTTAAAGTTGATGCCGTGGTGTCAGTAAAATGGCACGGATATATACACATATATATATCGTCTCGCTTTATATATAGTAAGATGGATGTTATCATTTATTTACTATTATATCTTAATCATGAATGCTTGGGGTTTGTTTAGGACATTATTCAATCAGTTTTAACATAAAATAAGAAGATTTGACTAACTGTATGACATATAATCGACTATCTAACTAGGACAACATTGCGTTTCTGTATTTTTACGTTAGATGGTGCAACCCCTGTTTGAAATCAGAGCATTTCTATACCTACTTTTTTGATTGATGATTTGTACAAAATAAATCTGATTTGGAATGAATTCAACAAATCGTTAACATTGAATGATTCATTATTTAAGCACGATTACAATCTTTAGCAATGAAATCTATATTACTTTTATTTTTATGTGTAAGGAGTTCACTAACTGTAGTCAAAAATTATTAGAAGTACAGTAGTCAGTATAACCCAGATTTACCGCACCCCGATTTACTGCAAACCCTGATTTACCCCAATAAAACGGGGTTTTACTGTACTAAAAAGAGTTTATGACAATTTCTTTATAAAATGTTACCATATTGAGAAAGTTAACTGCAGTTCAGGATGGAGGGGATTAGGACCCCTCTAAATAAACATTATGCACATACGTATACCCTCTAGTCTGTTACATTCTTGATAAATGTAATAGATTTGTAGTGTTGTAATTAGTTTAAAACTAGTATCCTTTTTCACCAGGTTCACTGAATATACCTGGCCGAAACAATTCCCTGATTTCCAGAAAAATAATCTCTTTCTCTCCAATAGGAATTTAAACGATGATCGATTAGGTCAGCATTCTGGATTCCACCATGCCTTTTTGGAAAAAGAACAGTAATAGACCTTCCAAAAGGGAGATTGAATCATTGCAAGATGCAAAAATGTCACTTGCAGAAAATCTTCCTGCTCACGTCAAGATAGTGGACATCAGCCAGATATACCTAACAGAGATTCCATATGGAGTCTTCTCTGTTATAAAATATCAGCAAAAAGATTGCCTCATAGTCAATAACAATGAGCTAAAGGACTTGAAAGGAGATTTGAGTTCGCTTGATGAGCTCAAAAAATTCGATTTATCGTTCAATCTTCTTAAGAGTGTCCCGAAAAGTATTTCATCATGTCAAGCTCTAGTATATTTGAACTTAGATCACAACGAACTGAAATCATTACCATCAGTTCTGGGATGTCTTCAAAACCTTGAGACCATCTCGGCTAGTTCAAACAAAATCACAGTTATCGCCCCTGAGATTGGAGCTTTGAGGAAACTCCACTCCCTTCTCCTGAAAAACAACGAAATCACCAAAATCCCAGACAACTTTGCTCACTGCTACCGGTTGAAAAATTTAGACCTTGACGTTGAGAAGATCATTTACCCACCCGCGGAAATCGTCATGGAGGGGGGCAGGGCCACCATTCTGTGGCTATGTGACGAAAATAATGTCGATAAAACAGCAATTGAGGGTCAACCAGATACGGAATACGGTACCAAGTTTGAAGCTATCAGCGCTCAAGAAAAAGCGGTAAGTACAGTGATGTTGCACTCTATTATTATGGTATCAAATTTCACAGATCATTCAGCCAGTCAGTGTTCACTCTGTAGACTTGTTTTGATTCGTTTCGTTGGAAGTGCAGTCGTGAGACGTTGGCATCTGAGTTCTGACTTCTGATTAAGACTTTAATAACTCTGAGGTATTTGTGTCTTATCAAGTATTCTTAAATGGCCGAGGACATTTTCCTAAATATTTCTTGCCAAATGTTAGCTGGCAACTTATAGTTAAAGTAATCACCCTACGCGCGTGGGGTGGACTCCTGGGGTGGACTTTTATTCAGCGCGTATTTTGTAGCCTGTTCAACTTGACGTTTTGATTCGTTACTATCTCAATGTCACAGATACACAGAATGTGAGGTGATCATCTTAAAGAGAAACGTCTCAGCTTTCACCTGGTGTAAAGTTTATCTTTGTACTCAAAATATAGCTCGCTCAGTGTGCAATAGAAGTTGACAATACAATAACCACGTCTGCGACCGGTCGTCAGATACCGGAGTGTTGCACAAAATTGGGTCCCTAAATTAAAATTCTATGACACAGTTACCATGCAGAAATGTCTGGAGTAACATTTGGTGAAAATTTGAAGGGTCTACTGTAAATATTGCAAAAGTTATTGAAAACAAACTAGCTTAATCAGAAGTTTTTGGGAAAATTTCAAATTTTGTACGTAGTGGGGTCTACAGGGGTGGACTCTTGCGGCGCGCATCTGACGGAGTGGCTTTTTCAACAGCCGTCAGTACGGCCAATATCAGAGCACAAATTATTGTGAGTAAGACCTTAATGATCAGCTATGAACCCCTCACTAGAGTAGTAACCGTATCTAAAAACAAGGAAATGTTATTCCGTCAAAGCTCAAATTTTTTACTCTTCTCAGTGCAGTTAGTGTTACTATGAATGTACTAGCTAAGTATCGTTGATCGTAGCTGCATTACACAGTAGAAAGTAACCAAGGAAGACTGCTGATTAACGAAGCAATTTCAACGTGAACAGTTCCAAAATACATAATCATGGCGACGATAGTTCAACTTGAACCTTTATAGTTTTTACAGTCTAAAATCACAATAAAATCACGTGAACTGCAAATCACAAAATCAAATCACTCAAATCTGATAGTCCCGTTACAGTACGCTTTCGTGACAACCTCAACGCTTAAAAAATAAATATTATCCAGTCTTGTGACCACCGATGGCCCTAACTCTCCCTTGTCCGCGAGGAGCATCGTTGCGACCATGGGGTTTCAGTTCTTTGTTCTTCCCACTCGGCTTCGATAGATCGAATTGGCTGGAAGTCAATCTATCAGAAAGACCTTTGTCGATCTCAGGGGCGTGGTAAATTGTGGATGTCGGAGTATAAAGCTTCCTGAAAAGATTGAGACATTCACTCGGTCTGTTGTAAATATCAAATAGTCCTTGTAGGCAGAGATTTAACTTATGTTGGGTTTGATAACTAGAGAAGGCGATTTGATATTCATTGATAGTATAAGCATATAAGCATAAGTGATAAGTTTATATACCCTTTTTATGGTACCTCGAGGCTCGATATCTGTATTCAGTAATCATCACTCAAAATCTACTTATTAAATTTATTAACTAAACAAGTTAATGTATTACCGTCCTAGAGAGGTTTCCTGAGAATTTGAAGTCTCTGTAGGTTGCTGGCATGTCTACTAAGCTCTTCGATTGAGGAGTTTTGGACCCCTCGGCGGTCCAAATGATTTATAATGCTGTGGGCATTTTCAACATCTATCGAGGTAAACGCCCTCGCAGCATAACCTGTAGAGAATGAACATGTCATCAATGTGAAGTTCAATGATAAAAATCAGAGTGGCCGATTTCAACGGGCAGAATTCTAATATCATGGCCATGGGGAATGGACTATTTTTTGTCGATTTTGCAAACCAAACCGGCAAACGATTGTTGATTTTCGTCACTAGTCTAAAATGAATGCAAACGTTCGGCCGAACATTTACATGATTAGAAACTTACCGGTTTCTTTCGTTATTATGTACAGACATGGCCGGGCTTGGGTTCCGCATACGATATCTTCTATCAGATTAAAGTTGAACCCACACTTTGTACTGCTCGTGGGAGGAGGAAAGCAAACGGAGACCTTTTCCATGAGCATCTCGTGTAGTACCATCATCATGTCGATTCTGATATCAGCTGCAAAATTCGTCTATTACTAAATGCTAGCTTTTCGAACTTCGTATCTTGGAAATAACAACTTCTATGAAAGAACACACACACACACACACACACACACACACACACACACACACACACACAGACAGATACACACACCCACAAACACATACAGACATAGACACACACACACAGAGACACAGACATACAGGCATACAGGCATAAACACAGACACAGACGGACACACAGACAGACACACAGACAGACACAGTTACACACAGACAAGGACACACAGACACACACCCACAAACACATACAGACATAGACACACAGACACAGGCATAAACACAGACACACACAGACACAGACGGACACACAGACAGACACAGTACACACAGACACACACAGACACACACACATAAACACACATAGTTCACTTCAGTGCACTACATTACAATTACAGACACACGCAGTACAATCAGAGACACACACACGATACAAAGACAGACACAGACACAAACACACAGAGTACACTTCAGTACAATCACAGACGCAGGCACAAAGACATATACAAGAAGAGCAGATTGAAGTACCTTCATTTGCAGATGTTGACGCATTGATCTGTGGGATATGTTCTTCAGTCTGTAACTGATCATCTGCTAGAACTGTCTCATCTGGATCAACCGGAGGAGTATCTTCCGGCAGGAGTCTGAGTGGGTCTATCGGGACAGCCATGGATCGCTCTCCCTACCTTGTTGAATTAAAGACAAAGGTCAACGACGGATGTCGCATGTTAGTCCTGTAACTAAATGTAATCCAAAATAGTGAATAAATAATTTTTACATCTGAACGATTGTATGTCTGAATGGTGATTTTTAATCAATGAACAAAAGTTCAGGATTTTACCTTCTGTTAAGCTGTTAGCAATGACTCTAGCACCCTCTCCCTACAAAACGACCATATCTCGGTCTGAAGCTTTAAACCGTCTTGCCTCAGCAGCCATCTAGCACAGTCGACCTGTCCTGTTAATTGTGTGATCATCAAGTTACCAAATTTAATCCTTCAATATTCAAATAATTGATTATTAGACAAAACAGAGTTTAGAGCTCGACGTATGCTTCAGGGTTTCACACTGTGCTGTAATCAAACGCATGACTAAAACCTCTTGCTACTATTACCAATAAACCCATATTGTTAAGGCGGTCGAATGATTTACCTGAGTTGATCGCGTCCATGAAAGGGTTAAACTGCGTTCTGTCCAGCTTGTTAATGTCCGTTCCAGCAGCCAGCAGTGCCTCCGCCTCCGTCACTCTCCCTGCTTTGCATGGCCAGTGAAGCGTAGAGCTCCCCTCTAAGCTCTTTGACGATCCGACGAAGGATCCAGATTCCCTTCTTTTCTTTTGAGATTGCTTCAATTCTTCCTGGAGTATGCGGATTACCATTTATATACTTCCATACAGGGCGCGTGAACAATCAGCAATGAATTATCAATTAATCAATCTAGTTTTTGAGTAGAAAGTCCACAGATTGTGATACATTGGATTTGATATTGGAAAAGACATAGCTTACCAAATACCTTTTCATGGGCTTTTTGGAGGACAGGGATGACTTATTCCTGCGTGCCATTACACCATAACTATCTGCTGTAACAGCAAAAATTAGAATTATGTCGGACATAATTCTAAAAAATTGGAACATCGTAGTTAATCAGTGTGGTGCTAACAACAGAGAGCGATTTGAACGGTAGGCAATTTCATAAATTCCATTAACGCGATATAAGGATGATTGGAACAGGCTAAAATCTACTATGTAGCATTGATAACTGGCTATATCGCTGCATTAAACGATAAAAGTATTGCTAACTATGGATATTCTAAGTGATCTAGGCAGAGGGGCCCAGGTCAAGATTTATGCGAGATTGCGAGCCAGACTCATCGCACAAAATTTGTAAATAAATGAGGAAACAGAAAAAGTTTAACTTAAAAGTTGAGGGAATTAGGAACTTAACATGTATTTTATACTCTTAAAGTTAACGTGTATTTTATCACTTGTTTATAGCGTGAAAACTTCGACGTAACGCGCGCGAGATTTTTGCCAGATTTTTGCGAGTTTCGTTTAAATCTCATAGCTAGGCTCACGATATCGTGAGATTCTCCGCGAGATTTCGGCATCCTCTTTCAGCACTACATATTCGGTCGCGCGCTTGCATTTTCATCGCTTTTCAGCGTGTTTATTCACTGTACTGTCTAAGTTTTAAAGGATACTAGTTCTTATAAGATCAAGATTCACAGTGGTTACTATAGTTACCATTAAAGGAGGTACTATTCCTGGCTACAGTCTACTCCATCTTTATCAGAATATACTTGATACTGCCATAGGCATAGTGAATATTTCTTCATTAAAAGTTTGAGAAAGGGTCTCTTCAACTGGAGAACTGACTTATTAATCCTAGCAGGTAATTAACTCTGGATCCTTATCACATTGATTCCATTCTAAATTCTAGTATAGTACTACCTGAAGTTGCAGGAACGCGCGAACATCTATATGTAAATATTACATGAGTATGTATGGAATCGTGGCCTAGTTGGTTAATCCGTCGGTTCTAGATTGGCAGACTGCGAGTTCGAATCCAGGAGAGGATAATTTTTTCCACTCTTTTGGCAATTATGAATAACTATACTAATGAACTAATAACTATACTAATGAATAACTAAACCTCTGTAATATAATTAGCATATAATTAGCAAAGTGAAATGAGATTGTTATCCGGCCGCGGAGCGGCCGAAAAATTTATGGTAGTCGTTTTAAAAATATATGGTAGCCGTTTTTTCTTTCCAGACTGGATTCCTAGTCCCTTTTTAAATTTATGTCACTGGGAACCATCGTGCTACGAGAGGCTTACAACGTTTACAATATGTAACATAATATAATTCATAAAAATACGCACGTAAATTTTTCGTTATTTATGGATCCAATAGCAGCGACATACTTACAATTTTGAGAAATAAACATCGAGCGACATAAAGCAACTTACTTACAATTTCGCTTACAAAGGGACTCGCGAAATCTTTTTAAATAGAAAATAATTGGTGGGGCAAGAAATCTTGCAGGCTGGGAGGGGGGTTGGTGGGGAGTACATTTCGCCTCTGCACGTGACACGTGAAAATCGCACTTTTAGTCTCAAAATCCAATCTCATCGCACTTTTTTTAGAATCTTGATAGGGGCAGAGGGGAACCGGCACAGCCAGATTGCGTTGTCTTCAGTGACTAAGTTTCACGATAGTAAAATTGACCTTATTTATTTTTAAAAAGGATGCACAGTTCAAGCAATAAATCGATCAGCTGCTCATATGATATTTGCATTTAAAGGAGGGCCCAGTGCAGTGACAAGTAAGTCTGTTAAGGCAACATTTAGTTCTGAGATTAGCTGAGTCTTGACAAAGATAAGTTGAGTTTCGAGAAAGTGCACACGGATAAAGTTATCAAGTGAAAATGATAAGACTAAGTTAGGGTCCAGTCAACAGAATGGCAGCTGTAACAGAAACAGTTCATTGGATAGGGGAGTAGGGGATTATGACGGAGTGAAGTTTATATAGCAGGGCAAACAAAAAACAACTGACAGCACTGAGCAAGTGAACTGGAAAATTGAGGAAGGGAAATAACTGTGGTTGTCAGCCCTTTCCGTAGCAATCAGGATTTCCCACGAGATCGATCAGGCAATCAGGATTTCCCACGAGACTGCTCCATCCGATGCGCGCACTTTTGTCACGTGACGGCCACGTGACGCTCAAATCGTTGTCACGTGGTACAGAAGGAAGGTTCCTAGAGCGTTGATCTCGACAAGAGGGAGTTTCTCACGGTTTATCTTCAATAACTATCGCTATTTTTATAGTAGAGAGTTGAAACTTTCACCAAATGTTTCCCTAGACATTTCTGCATGGTAACTGTGTCATAGAATTTTAATTTAGGGACCCAATTTTGTGCAACACTCCGGTATCTGACGACCGGTCGCAGACGTGGTTATTGTATTGTCAACTTCTATTGCACACTGAGCGAGCTATATTTTGAGTACAAAGATAAACTTTACACCAGGTGAAAGCTGAGACGTTTCTCTTTAAGATGATCACCTCACATTCTGTGTATCTGTGACATTGAGATAGTAACGAATCAAAACGTCAAGTTGAACAGGCTACAAAATACGCGCTGAATAAAAGTCCACCCCAGGAGTCCACCCCACGCGCGTAGGGTGGTAATACAGTTTCATCTTATTAAAGATCAGGTTTCGTTACATCAAATCTATTTATAAAGACAGTGTCCAAATAAACAGGACCTTACAAATTACTATTTATGAACTTATGAAGGGGTTCGTACATGGTTTAAAAGTCGGCTTCACTGTTATATATGTGTTTAAATAAGACTCTGAATTATCTCGGTAATTACAATATACACCGCTCTTTGTCTACCTGTCATACACCCTACTATATAATATATAGTTTTAAACTTCTTACAGCACTTCAAATCTATTACGTTTATCTAGGACGTTGCAGATGGAATATACTTAATGTAGTCCGAGCAGTCCTCACTCTCCTCGCGTCTTAAGATGGCGTTACTCTTGTCTCATATATATATTATATATAGTATATAATATATAGTATATAATCAGAGTATATTATACTCTGATCCAAGGTTCACAACACGTGACCGCACACTCTCGTGATCAGTCACATTTAATACAACCACTCTCACTCGCTCTGCTCTGACACATCACGACTATTTGCGGGAGAAAAGACAATTAATTATACTGTGTGTGGCTCGTTGTTGTATATATGGAGAAGTATAATTGCAGTTTGCCATTTCCTCTTGACATGTTGTACGGTGCTGGTCTCTTTATAACTCTGGTATGTTGGTATGTTGGCAGGACAGCAGGTTTTGCTTGATGCTGTTCTACAATCTACAGGTGTATTGGTAGTTTGTGTATAATATCGTGTATTTCTCTTTCTGGTTGTTCTTGTTTTGCCGTAATAATGGTATTTCCGGGGTATGGAGGTTGATAATTGGAACCAAATTGAAGACGTAATGTTTGATACAATTGCCCGAAATAGCTTACAGCCTTCTCAAACCTGGATTATATAAGTTCAGAGTGTACTGTTCGCCCACAAGTGTGTTGTTGGCCCACTAATGTGTTGTCACAAGTGTACTGTTCCCCCACTAATGTGTTGTCACAAGTGTGTTGTTGCCCCACAAGTGTGTTGTTGCCCCACAAGTGTGTTGTTGCCCCACAAGTGTGTTGTTGCCCCACAAGTGTGTTGTTGCCCCACAAGTGTGTTGTTCCCCCACAAGTGTGTTGTTCCCCCACTAATGTGTTGTCACAAGTGTCTTGTTGCCCCACAAATGTGTTGTTACAAGTGAGGATGTATTCTGAGAAGGGTGACCCAGCTTACGACGCCATGGTTAGGAAACTCCGGGACGAGCAACATAACGTGAGTGTGGTTCAGATCTGTGGGTAACACTGTGCATAATAACACACAGTGTCTGATGAAAATACATGGTTGATACTGAGTTTATCACAACGTTTAGATGCTTTAGTATAATTAGATTTGTGCTGCTATATCGGATGGTTTTATTGGTTATGGGTAGTGTGGTACCGTAGAAGTTATAAACACTCAACACAGCTGAAGTTTCCAATTCAAATGTACATTTCAAGTTAAAATGTTAGGTTTCTCATCGTTTTCTGATTAAAAACAGTTCACACAGATCTCACAAAATGAACATATATTAAATTACTGCACGATAGCAGTATGGATAGCACATCCACTGTGCCAGCTTTATTTATATTTTCCATTTTGGAAGCGTCTCTGATGGTAATCAGCACATATTATGTAATAGCTCAGAGCATCTGAGCAGTGAGCGGTGTAATACACACACTGCAGGGTGATATCAGATCAGAAGTTATCATACTCGTGACGTTCAAATATCATACAAGCAATTCCCTTGGCAATTAAACTGGATTTGTTAGACAATATATCACATAAGAGATACAGTCTGACCAGACCTCTTCCCCAGGCGGAGGAGATGATGCTGAAGAGACAAGAGCACGAGGCGGAGGAAGCAGCCGAGATGTTAGCAAAGATAAGGGAAGAGGAGGAAAACTTGAGGAAAATATCTGAAAACACCAACACTAGAGACGAACTGAGGGTGGGTACATTGTATCTCCTTACTGAAACTTTATTATTACCCTAACACAATATCACAATAAAATGTAAACCCTTAAGAGTACCCTTACCCTTCCTTTAGTTAATTTATTAGCAATATGATCGTGCTTTGTTGAATTTGTATATCGTTTCAGAAAAAGCGATTGCATCAAAAGATGAAAGAAGAAGATGCTAAAGAGGCAAAGAAGCTTTCAGAATATCTCGAGTTTATGGATGATGTTAAGATGACCAACATCCGGGAGGCTCTAAAGGAAGTAGAGGATGTGAGTATTAATAAGAATGGGGGTGTTTTTCATTAGTGCTATTTATTTACAAAAATTTACAATAAGAGCTATTTAATAGGACATCCTACCCCCCCCCCTCCCTGAAACAGTCCAGCAATTTCACTGTATTCATGTAGAGCGATTATCCCTCATAAAGTGTTTAAAAACCTATAAAATTAATTTTAGAATTGAGTAATGGGGGTTCCAACCTCATTTTGCCTCATTCGGGCAGCCAAAAAGGACAGTGATGCTCAGTGCGAGGGAGCATTTTTTGTTTTACTTTCAATGTATTATTATGTAAGCACTCAGCATTGATCTACCTATGTGACCTATGTTGGGTTTCGTCAAGAAATGGCCGCGGTAAATCGGAGTTTGCTGTAAATCGGGGCGCGGTAAATTTTACTGTACCGCACTTTTTTACACCATCGTATCGGCGTTATTCATTCTATCAGATTTGTGTATTTGAATTTGGTATCGCTGTATACAATGAAATATGATCGAAATGCCCATAACTATGGTCAGGGTCAAACGTTTTTCATGCCGTAACATGAAAATAACTTGGGAAACTAGAATTTTTTTCAAAAATCAGGAAAAACATATAATATAGAACAATTTTTCTTCCTAGAAGTTCTTTGTTATTATGTATTAATATTATCAGATGGCGAGTTGCTAATTCATTGACTTAAAATACTATTGATATTAATTGATAAAAACGAATGAGGGTGATTCCTGGTAAACGAATAACTTGTCAGACTGGATCACAATCCCTCAACGGATTGAGATTAAGTCACATTAATCACGTCATCACTTTTACACACAATGAGTTGGAATATTATGTTGTAAAGTATATTAAGGTTATAATATTGAATTAATTATGCTTATCACCAGCTGTAAGGATAATTCTAGAATGTTACACAAAAATCGTAAATAATTCAATCTGAGAGTATTAAAGGCTGCAAATGTGGCGAATTGTTGAACAGCTTAATTGCGGTGTATTTTGTGTCCAAATGTGCCGCACTTAAAAAGTTTTGGGCAGATGCGGAATCGCACAATTTAAAAAATATTACCGCACCTAAATGTTGCCGCTCATTGCACCAAATATTATTGCGCCAGCACAGTAGAGTTCGTATTTGAAGCAGTAAACGACCGGGGGTAGGATTTGGCCGGGGCCGGGGCCGGGGCCGGGAATGTCCAAATTTTGCCGGGGCCGGGAATTGGCCGTTCTTGAATTTGGCCGGGGCCGGGGCCGGGGCCGGGGCCGTGAATTTAATAAATCCACGGCCAAGTTAGAACTTTTCAGGACTTAGGATCTGAACTTATTTTTTTTTAATTTAAACTATCAGAGGTTACAAAAACAAAGGACTGCTCTTGAAAGTTGGCACTCTGGACATCATCCTTTCAAAATTGAAAATCCATTTTAAGATTTAAATGAAAGTTTTAGGCCGATTTCGATCAAAAATTCCCGGCCAAATTCCCGGCAAAAATTGAAAATCGGCCGGGGCCGGGAAGAAATAGCTCCCCCGGTGCCGGGATTTCACGGCGCCGGGAATCCCGGTCGATTACTGATTTGAAGGGGTGTATCCGCTGATTGGCGGCTTATCATAAACTGGGTGAGCTCATCTTTGAATTGCTCGAGATCTCGAATGACATTCCGACGGTAGGGGATCACATTTCACAATTTAGGTCCCTGAACTGTAAATGAGTTGTCAAACAAAGTGAGGTTTGCTGATGTGTGAACGAGTTTGTCATGTAGCATCGTCGTGTAATGTGCTATTGTACTACCGTAGTGTAATTAATATATAAGTGTGCATAGCAAATGCATAGATAATGTAAATACAATACCACTCACATATTTGAATACACTGTAGAAACATTGTAGGTCGTTTTGACCAAAATGAACTCATAACATTGATCGCAGTGAACAATAATGATAAACACCTAACAGTAACTCGGGCTAATTTTGACCAAATCAGCACCGTATCAACTTAGTCTCGAACGCTTGATGACATCTACTAATTACATATGATGTACTGTTAGTTATAGAGCATCTGACCTTCAAATTCCAACAACCGCTCGGTAAAAGAGAATTTAACACAACATGATAAGCTGTAAAGTGTAAACTGCAATACATAATATGTAGAATATCACCAGTAGTATCTACAATGTAGATCTAGATTGTTCTAGATTGTTCTAGATTGTTCTATATTGGCCCACACCTGTACCCTGTCTGTGTTATACACTGTGTCATGTAGTGTGTAGTGTTGTAGTGTGTACTGTGCGTATTAGAGAGTTTACTCTTAGTAATAGTAATAGTAAATATTATGATGGTTATACCTTTTATTCCTTTGTTTTACACCGCTTGTGTATTAGTCTCCAGAAATATTGAAAAGCTGCAGAAATATTCAAACCATGTGTTATGTACCGTACATGGTATTTATTACTCGCATTTTGAATACTAATTTCTGATAAATATTACATGTAATTAACAATGTAACATAGACTCAACCTTTCAATAATAGAAAGATTAAAAAACATTCAACGCTCGTTCCGATAGATAAGGACTGCAATTAGAGAGCTTAGCCAGGAAATTATCGGAGATGAATGTAATCAAAACTGTTAAGTTATAAGCTACGAACAAGCTTAATTTTATGGTAAATGTACATTTCAGTAATCGATTGGAAGCGTGCCATTATTATACCATGAACATTTGCCATGTATTAGGAATTAGCTTATAAAGCACATTTCTACTGTTTCCGATTGTAAGGCTACATTTATGGCTGATGACTGATATTCATAACAGTAATTATGTGTTTGTTTAATTATTGTAATATTATGTAAGTAATTATATCCTCATTATATCTTAATAATTTCATCGCTCATAAGTCATAACACGTTTCTGTGAAGCTCAGATATTTGCTGTTGTACATTGAACGCTTACACTGTTATACACACACCTATAGTGCGAGTTAAACGCTACACAAACAGTGTACACTGTACAGTGCTTCAGTAATTTCCTCATGTAGCTCACAAACAAGCATCTTATAGGAAGCTCCTACTGGGATCGGAGGAATTTCCCCAAAATGAAACCAGGAAAATAGGTTGATAGTTTGTTGTACAAATTGTACATGAAATTGTTTACATCAGAAGAATTGTACTTCCCAGAAATAAGCTGGAGTGTCCCTCTCTGCATCCCTGTAATTTTACACTCGCACTATTTAAAATCCCCACTTACACCCACTTCTAAAGCTTTGCGAACATTGTATATTACATTACACTTTACAGTGTTGATTGATTGATTACTTGATTGAGGAGCACTACCCGGAGACAGTACTCGGCACTAACGCCTTAAAATCTTTAATTACAATCAAATATAAATATATGCACACATGTATAAATATGATAACGCTATTAGCAAATTTAGACAGTAAAATAACTCTTGTCTCTTGACATAAATTTAGAGTTCAGAGACACAGGGTCTGAAGAATGCGCTGATATTTATCTGGTAAATGACAGTGAAATTGCGCGGTAGCGATAGCATTGTAAAAATGCTCGAAGATAGTCATATTTCGTTCTGAGGTTAAAGTTTTGTTACTCGTCACTATCAACGTAATATGCTGTACCAAATTATTTAAGTTTCTAAAAGCACGAAATTTGAATCGTTCCAGTCCTTGTCATTCTGCTCAAGTGCTTGTACAGTGAGCAAATGCTTGTTGACTGTAGACTTGAATGAATTTAAGAATTTGTCTTGTAGGCAAGTCGTGATGTATTTTTTGTCCTTTTTAATAATGTTGGCCGTTTTGTTGTATAACTTCCGATAACTTAGGGCCAATTAAATGTTAGAAATGCTCTTGTCTGGGTTAAATAAACGGTTCAATGGTGTCAAGTAAATTTATATATCATTTATAATTGAACGGCTTAACTATTATTCGCAGTAATAACAAAAACGTTTGTATCTGTTCATAATCTGCTGCTACCCTCAGAAAGATATAGATGCGGTAAGGATACTGGCGGAAGTGACTGCTATGTTCGAGGAGGAGAAGAGACGTCTGAAGGAGTTCCTGGCAGAGGACGAGGCTATCCTTAAAGAGTACGTTTTAGTGGGCACATACCTCCCACCCCACAACACATACCTAATCACATACCTCCCACCCCACAACACATACCTAACCACATACCTCCCACCCCACAACACATACCTAACCACATACCTCCCACCCCACAACACATACCTAACCACATACCTCCCACCCCACAACACATACCTAACCACATACCTCCACCCCACAACACATACCTAACCACATACCTCCCACCCCACAACACATACCTAACCACATACCTCCCACAACACATACCTAATCACATACCTCCCGCTAGATACGCAGCTAACCACAAGTTGGACATGTCGTTCATATCAGACGAGATGGAGAAGATACTGCAGGAGGAGCAGATGATGGAGAGGTTCACACGCAACGCAGAGCACGAGCTGGAGCAGATGTTCGACATGGTCCAGGAGGAGGAGGGTCAGGAGAGTGCTGTTCACAAGAGAATGGTAGGTTGGTAGTCAACATAGATTCAGTTGTTTGATTCTGATATACATGTATGATGATTGTATGGTCCTTAGTTCAAAGGTAGGTCTAGAATGGTCTTAATAGGGATTACTCTTCTGTCATGAGGAAGAGAAAACAGCAGTGATGATTAAGGTGTAACCTTGATATCTATTTTATTTTATTTGAAACTTTTAAAGAGTTGATTTATATTATGAAAATAATAGTACAATAGTTGTAAGACAAATGTTCGCTTTTCTGGTCATTTTCCTATTTGATAAAATAACAATTATATAAATAACAATAATTTGAGCCCAAAATGTGAGTAAAATAGTCTTAACTCGTAACCTAATAATGCACTGTCAATATTATAGTATGAACAACCCCTTTTCGAGAACTATCTTTTAACCAAAGAATGTGAGTTTGTTTTCAACTTCCATTTCAAGTTCCAGCTTCTGACCGGGTCCCGGGAATGATGTCGCGTCTTCAGACACGTAGATGGCGTAGTTCCCGTAAACAGGTCCGCTCATCAGGTAACCGTCAATCTGCGTCCCCGCGTCACTGCCCTGCAGCTGAACTTTGCACGATGTACTCCACAAATTATTTGGGCAATTTTGAATGTTGGATATCTCATGATGCCACCTGTCACTCGCAGACACTCCGGTGAGGGGGTAGCAGTGGAAGTCGTTTCCCAGTCCGTGGGTGTTGTCGTCGTCAACACCGGTAGGTGACAGATTTCCTCCCGTCATCACGATCCTGTGTCCATTGTTAGAGTACGCCCAGTTGAAAGCCAGATCTCCTCCTACAGAAAATATGGGGTCGTCTCCCATGTTCTGAGCGTTCTTGCTTACGCTCTCTTGGAGAGGACCACCCTCCGTAACCACATCCCTGCCCGGGTTCATGTCCTGAAACCGGGAGAGAAGGGACCTGCCACTCTGTGTAAACCGGAACACTTTCACTGCGTCCACCTCCCCTCCCTGGTGTCTCACAATGGCTATGTAGCTGACGGGGTGGTTCCAGATCACTCTGTTCAAGTAATCTTTAGTCAGAGCCTCAGTGTAGGTTCCAATGAAGACGTCCGTGAGCCCAACCAACAGCGTAACCCATTACGTGGCCATCAGCTGGGTTCAGGTTCATGGCCAGGTGCCAAGTCTTTGTTTCTACTCTCTCAATTCTCTCTATAGATTTCGAATTGGTTACAACCAGTACCAAAAGAAGGGTTAGTAGAAACATAGTATTTGAATCTGAAATTAGTTGTGTGAGGATATCATTTTGTAAAAACCTTATATATATTAACGATATAAAATGTTTAAAATACCCTCAATAATTTGCATTACTATCAGTAGACACTACTAAAGGTTTAAAGTAACTGCTACATTTTATGTAGTTTTTTAAGGACGGAATTATAAATATTGGCCAAAATATTTTCATATGATGGATAATTAAAAACGAACATCATCATTCGCCAGCTGCACACTATGATTTGACAATGAGTTCAGCTGTTAATGTAGCGACAAAAATCCGAATCCATTAGAGTGATTTCTGATGAGAACTAATCAACAGTGCCTTTTTTCCAAATTGTAACTCAATTTAGGATTTTATTAAAATTGAACGTAATAACTGGACAGAAAGCGGAAAACACCTCAAAATATTACAAAGAAAAGTTATCAGAATTCAGGAAATAATGATGTGCCGGCATGTTCAGCAACTCAATATATGGATTTTGTTGGGTGAACCTTCTCTTATCATCTCTTATCATCCAATTCTACCCTGGTTCTTATATTGCAATTTCTATAATACCTAATAAGTAATTATTTCTCTAATTAAGCTCATTTTTAATTAATTATGAACCTTATCTATAAGCTGCTTTCCCTCCTTGTGTCGTGCGGTGGGAAAGTGTTGTTGAAACCGGAATTTCGATAATTTCCTGGGAACACAGTGCACTTATTACAGTTGCACTTATATTCGAGAAGGGGGCAAGGAAAAACCTACATTGTTAAAACGTACCTACATAAATAGCTAACATACCTTCGTCCTTCAATCTACATCCTTTCTCACTCTGAGACTACATTATAGAAACACACCTTAGATTATGAAATGAGGTATTTATAATCAAAAGTAAGATTTATTAAAGATTAGCAACACCTTCAAAAGTTACTCGTTTTGCTATTAACCAGCTACGTGTGTCTATGTATAATGTATAATGTATATTGTATACACGTGACTGTAATATGCTATATCTTTATCAATCAATGCTGGTTGCTGATTGGTTAATCGTTGTCACGTGCCAGTAATGAGTAAACACATGGTTCACCATTCACCAGTATCCAGATCTATTATTCTATTACTTGCAGTTTGCACAGTGCTCATGTAGATCTCGACTATCCCGTATCATTAGATGTACAGTAGATGTGTAGTAGATGTGTAGTAGATGTATAGTAGATGTATAGTAGATGTGTAGTAGATGTATAGTAGATGTATAGTAGATGTATAGTAGGTGTGGCGTGTATAATGTGTGCATTAGTACTTTAAATATACTTTTATTGTCTAGGTATGCTCATTATTGTACTCGTCATTATCATATAATATTTACATGTTAGGTTACATTGTTTCCAGACTCCAGTATTGAAAATGTCAGTTATCACAATGTACATAATATTATTTTATAAATAGTAAACTTTTAGTTTTTGAATATCATGGAGAAATATCTGACATCACAAGGTAGCACAGGTTAGTGTAGCACTACAAGACTGGAACGTGTAATTTCATTTGCAGCAGTGTGACGCCTCCCCCTCCTCCTAATTAAAGAGCACTCAGATAAATATTGATGAGATTAAAGCTCTCGGTGGATTCTACTCTTATCTAAAGATACACACAAACACTACACACGCATTACTGCAATATTACACATAAAGTATAAACAACACAAAGATAACATGAAAATTACACCAAAAGTTAACACTACTGTACACCAAAATAACACGAGCATTACATTCAGGCCCAGGGTTTTGAGCAAGATAAAAAACAGATGTTACAGATGATATTGAAGGATGAGGACTTGCAAAGGAAAATGTTTATAACTGCTCAGCAGGAACAAGATAAAGTTTATAAGGTATGTTCGTTATTATCAGTGTTTAATTAATTAGTTAATTAGTTAATTAGTGTAGGATGCGTCTAGGATTAGTAGGATTTGTGAAGTTCTAACTGTGTACGATTCGTATGTTATCAATTAAAAACTTGATTAGTTGACAAATCTTATAATTACGATACGTCATACAAACGTAATCTGTATAATGTATACTGTGTTTAGTATACATTATACATATTACGTATGTATGGTGTGAGTGTTATGAACGAGAAGCTTTTAAATACATCGATGTACATTGTACATTGTAAAATGGCACCCTACGATTGCTATGGTTCCTATCATGGTTACTACGATTACTATGGCTTCTTTGCACTGCTAGCCGTGAAAATTGCTCTAGCGTAACCGATTTCCCGTGTTCATTTTCACGCAACTCGGTTCACTAATTGGCAAACTTCTGTTTACACTGCATACTATAAAGCATTCATTTACATACTGTATAGTGTATACTGATGACTGTATACACACGATAATCAAACTTGTAAACAGTGTAGAATGTGTAGAATGTGAAGAATGTGTACTAGACAGTGTAGTAGACTGTGTACACATTGTCATTGTAGCTAGTGTAGACACTGTAGACAAACCAAGAGCCCCTGATAAAATAATCCCGGCAGGCTCTCTCGACTCAGATAGAGAATATCCAAGAGAACCTGTACTTGCTGACTGTTCTGGAGAACAACCAGAAGAAGCTAGATGAGCAGGTTTTTATCAGTTTACTGCTTTGTTTTAGATTTTCTAAAGATTTGTTTCCAACGTTGCACGCGAGCGGCATACTTTAGAAGTTCTATAACTTCTTAAACATGTTAACACTAGGTGGTGGATGATATCAGAGGCCAGAGAGCGGATATGGCAGGACTGCTGACCCAGCTGATGACAAAGCAGGAGGAGAGGAGGACTGAGCTGGAGGATGCAGCCAGAATGATAGAGCAGCAGTGCGAGGACGAGCTGGTACGTGATACTCGATGTTACTAGGTGTCACTAGGTGTTACTAATGCTAGGTGAAACTAGGTGTTACAAGGTGTTACTAATGCTAGGTGTCACTAGGTGTTACTAGATCAGGTGTTAATTAGGTTCTGCTAGATGGTACTAGATGACTCTGGTGGTGTCATGAAAAATGAGAATGATAAGGTAGGATTGAGTGGAGAGAGAGGGAGGAGGGAGGGAGGGAGGGAGGGAGGGAGGGAGGGAGGGAGGGAGGGAGGGAGGGAGGGAGGGAGGGAGGGAGGGAGGGAGGGAGGGAGGGAGGGAGGGAGGGAGGGAGGGAGGGAGGGAGGGAGGGAGGGAGGGAGGGAGGGAGGGAGGGAGGGAGGGAGGGAGGGAGGGAGGGAGGGAGGGAGGGAGGGAGGGAGGGAGGGAGGGAGGGAGGGAGGGAGGGAGGGAGGGAGGGAGGGAGGGAGGGAGGGAGGGAGGGAGGGAGGGAGGGAGGGAGGGAGGGAGGGAGGGAGGGAGGGAGGAGAGAGAGAGAGAGAGAGAGAGAGAGAGAGAGAGAGAGAGAGAGAGAGAGAGGAGAGAGAGAGAGAGAGAGAGAGAGAGAGAGAGAGAGAGAGAGAGAGAGAGAGAGAGAGAGGAGAGAGAGAGAGAGAGAGAGAGAGAGAGAGAGAGATCGCATCAAAAAATATCCATCTCAACCGGAGATACTCATACAGCCGATTTTAATGTAGCTCGCACTGAACACAACGTAATTAACACAAAACCGATCAAAATGTCAAAATGTCGCTCGCAAATTTTTGCACGTGCACGAGCGCTTTTGAACTTTTGAACACGTTAATGTTATCATGGTTGCTATGCAACTTCCTATTTTTCATCTGATTTGCACGTGGGCGGTCGTACATACATACAGGTCATTTTTTGAATTAAATAATGATAGTTAAAATATTGTAAAATGCTAAAATACTGGTTAAATTCCTTAAATTCCTTTACTCTGGTTTCATCCTCGACATCCTCTTGAACTTGTAAGGTTCAACTCTTAGTCTTGCTTTTGGTTTCGGTTGTTCTTGTGGTTTCTGTTTTTTTGGTGAAGGTAGATTGGCTTCGAATTTTTGGCTTCTTTCGGGGGCTCTTTTCTTAAGAACTTTCTTGGGGGCGTTGACCCAGGTACCCCTCGTAACTGATTCGGGAAGTTCTTGCTGTTCGCCGATATATGGTAAAAACACTTCTCGCGCCATTACCTTATCAAGCTCCTTTGATTCCAGTAGTTCTAAAATGTACTTGAAATCTTCCCCGTTTCTCCCATTGAATTTATACCTATGTTCGGCGATCCACTCTTCTCTATTTTCATACTCTGCGGCACTACGTCTAAGTGCCCTCAAAGCAAATGCAGGCCACTCGTAAACTGTCATGCCTTGCTCAACCAGACCCACAAATTCTTTGGTGATGGCAATGTCAGAGACAATGACCTTGGCGATCCACCAATTAGCTTGACTCATTTGATATGGGTGCCCCGACAAGTGAAGTGCCTGGGCTAGCATGAAAGGATGGTAGCTAATGTACACGGCCAGTTGGGAGGCGTTGGCAATCTTATTACGGGCTGTTGGGTTGTGGTTTTCATTTTTTGTCTTTTCGACTTGGATAGGGTCAACGTTGTACCAGATTCTTCTAATATTGTTGTAATCTTGAATGAACTGCTGCAGATCCTTTTTGTAGTCTTTGAACACGTTCAGCGGAATTTTCTGAAAACGATATTATATTATCGTTTATATATTACTGAATTATCATGGTTAATGTAAATTGTCATATAATTACGTTTTGAAACGCTAAAGTGTGCTCTTATTTGTTTGCACGAAAACATGTAACTCCTAAACAGATCTAGTGTAATGTTACCGGGACAAACAGATCTAGTGTAATGTTACAAACCTGAACATATTCCCGAACTTCAGCAATGTTGTGAGGATCCATGCGAGTGTTATGGTAATGTATGTCATACTGAGGGAGATTATCTTCTTTGGCGGCGTACTTATCTTTTGAGTATGCAAATTGTCCAATTTCGGAGCACGAAGGCAGCAATGAGTTATCGTCCCACTTGTAGACAGAGTTCTTGCCGATGGAAGGAGTGAGTTTGAGCGTTACTTTGTGGGTTTCCCAGTTAATTTTGAATGCCTCGTATGCCTTTAAAGCTCTTTTCTCATTTTGTTTCAAATCCCAAGCTGCCCGGAACCTTACATGCATATCCTTCTTTTCCGCTTTATATTCCTTGTAATTAAAGGATCCGTCCCGTGGATTACTGGGAATTAAACTGCTATACGAAGAGTAGTCCTCGAACACATCTTCAGGTTCGGGTTCAGGGTCCTCCGCGATCCTTGTTTTGAAGTACATTAGTTGACCGCTAGAGAAGAAATTGCCAATGCTCGATAGGTACCATTGTGTGAAAATTTTACTGTCCGGACCATAGGTAATAAGGCTGGGAGTACGACTTTTGACTTTTTGGATACCTGGCAGGAGTTTCACGGCAGATGTAGCCAGCTCCGTGAAATACAACTGACGTTTTGCCTCTGTGTCAAATCCGGTGTAACCCCGAAAATCATATGTCGCCCCCTGCACTGATCTAAGCTTCTTTTCTTTTGGGCCGGGTACGCCCTTATCAGGCGCCGCGTTTTCTGGAAAGGTGTTGCCACGGTCAATCATTGGTTCCAAAAACATGAGCGCTTCAATGTACAGTGCTTCTTCGAATGAAGAATCCTTTTGTAGGCGAAAGTTTTCTGGGAGTAATAATCGACTGGTATCAGGAGAGAAATAATCACTTGACACTCTGAGATCGTAATGTTTCTCTTGTTCTTTCTTAAACTCAACGTCATGCTTGACAGATTTGATGAATCTGGCTACCTGATCGTTGTGAACTTTCTTGACTGCGCTGGTTACCAGTTCCTTTCTACTCGTTGCATACTGGAAGGTTTTCAAGAAGTCCTTGTGGAAGTCCATATACTCTCCGATAGTGATCTTGTTCCTTTCCGCGATACCTGACTCATCATCCCCAAAGTCAAAATAGTCGTACTTTAGTTCTCTGAACAGACCACGGAGCTCTCCTTCGCTGAAGTTGCTGGGAAGTGTGGCGTAGCTATCTTTGGTAAATCTGTTCACATTGCATTTTACCGCATTCCATCCTGTCTTCGCTATCCTGATTGCTTTGCCTTCGTCCTTTTCTTCAGTAACTCTCTTGCTTTTACCCATCTTTAGTTATTCTGCCGAAAACGAAATAGCTTTGTTTGAATTGGTTTAAATTAAAATTTGGTCTTAGGATCGGAACTTATTGTATTTATACACTTTTGCACGTGCAAGTGTTAAACTTTGGCACCAGTCCCGGTTGGCACCGTGTCAGCCTAAAATCTATCATATTTGCACGTGTCAATACTCGAACACTTGGCAATTTTCCCAAGTCTTGACTATGCGTTGTAATTTAAATGTGTGCCGGTTGGTGCGCGCGCGCCTGATCGTACACAAAGTTATGAAATTGTATACTTTAATTGCGCGAGAAACTGATTAAAAGTACAAATTGTTGGTCCCCAGTTTGACAAGTGTCTTAAGGAGGGATATGACGTCATTTTGAGCATTTCCCCATTAATCTAGCGATGAGATCAAGATTTCTGCAAATCAAGAAATATCACTGTATTCGACTACCTTTTGGGAAATTTAAAAAATGATTTTATCCCGATTATTGTTATCCCTGGAAAATCAAACGCTTCGAAACCTTTGGTCGCATTATTTTTGTTGTTTTATTTGCACCTGAAGCCGGTATTGGATTTTTGTGCGGTTTAGTTTTGGCTGAGCAACCAGAGATCACTGAAAGGAGAAGTTGTGACGTCACCAGTCACGAGAGGTATTTTTTGTGTAGATTATCTGGTTATCCCTGCCACTGGTTCAAGAATGAAGATGGTTCAATAATGAAGATGACCACCCTCTGTATTTTATTATACATATGCACCTGAAGCCGGTATTGAATTTTTGTTTCTGAGACACTGATGTAAAATGTATTTGCGAGCAGAATCTCAATTTAAGTGTTGGCGGTTTCGGTATTTTAAAATAACTCATTTTAAATAAACATTTTATTCAATGTAAAAGGGTATTACGGATGCCCGAATCGAAATATGTTGCCTTAGAAGTCTCTGAAACTTGTATAACTGTCCCGAGTATCTGCTGCAATGTGTTATAAACTCGAGGCTTACAAGTTGATCTCAACATCTTGTCATCCAATCCAAATTTAACGAGAAAAGCTGTCAATTTGTGGTTATTACTACACGGAAGCAACGATGACTAATAGTAATCCTGACCACCCTTTGTATTTTCTCAGGCTAACTTCTGGCTGTATCAGTACCAGATGTTGATGGCCAGTAAGCCGGTGAAGATCCTAAGAGAAGAGGAGGAAGCCATGCACGCGGCGAGTAAAGCAATGCAGCTGGAGAAACCCCTTGGGGATGATGAGTACGAGGGACCACCGGTAAGTGCCCTATATGTTACATAATACGTTAGACAATATTTTGTGTATGTTCATCGTTGATTCATGTTAATCGATCGACCATACCATATGCATATGGTCGAACTTTTGATCGAAACTCCAAAACCAGATTAGTTTGTAATCTCCTATCGACAAATCGTGAAAATTGTTGTGATCCACAGAGGCGGCTCGTGGGAGCTGGCTGGCAGTTTTGTTGGGGGTCCAATCGATGGACTGGGGGGAGGGGGGCTTGGGAGCCGGCTCAAGCTGATCCCTCCAAACTACCGATTACATTACACACAGGGCCTTGTAAATGTAATGTGTAACACTTTACAGGCGACAGCAAACAAAAACAAAAACTTATAACATGGGTGAAACAGGACACCACACGTGTACGATCTCAGCCGCGCAGTATCACAACAGTCAATAGTTCAAAGGGTCCTGGACCCCCAAATCGAGGCAAATCATAATAGATTACCTGTAGTGGGATGCGCACGATGTGCTTTGTAACGTTTACAATTAACTATGTGTTAAAACTGCGCGGCTGAGTAGTCCAGAGGTAGGATTGGACTCCCTACAACACAAAATTTCACGAAGATCATGCGTGCGCTTACATTAAAACGTATGATAGTAAACGAAGACCTTTATATTGCGATTTGTTATTTCCTAACACTATTACTAGTTACTATTTCTATTTTAAGCACCAGCCACCAGATAATAATTTAAAGGCGTCCACGGACGCCTGGACGCCCTCAATAGCCGCCTCTGGTGATCCATGATTCAAATTTTAATGACAACCTAATAAACCTTTTATCGGCATAGCTCAATTTACTGAAGAAGTTGCACATGGAGTAATCCAGTGTTTTAGTTTCGACCACTTGTTTGTTCAATGAGCACAAGTCCAAGTGTCGCTATTGTTTTTATCTGATAGATATTATCACATTGTTGATGATCCGTGTAAAATACACGTTTCCGTTCTGAAAACCATTTCTTTTGACTCATGATTGATTCAGTGATTATCATTTAGAGTAACTTAGTCAGTAGACAAAACTAACGCTGCGAAATCAATCCCGTCTCTTGTTTAAATTATACGGAAATAATTTACACTCAATTAAAACACTGTCATGTTTATCCGGCACATCTAAATAGCGACTTCCACAGGTGCTACCAGATGCATGGAACAACACTCCCTCAGCGCCGACCGCAGACGCCACGCCTACCGCTCCCTCTGATGCGGCCCCAGCTCTCGAACTTGGGGGTCAGGCCCCACGTGGAGGTGTCCAAGTAAACGCAGAGTCGGAGTGCTGCATCTGCCTCGACAAGGCACCTTGCGTGGCGTTCTTACCCTGCGGGCACGTGTGTTGCTGCGCAGACTGCGGCATCGTGTCTGTGTGCCCGATGTGCCGCGCGCAGATAACCACAACTGTACGGTTATATTTCACTCAGACTTAAGGGAAACAATAAAACTATCGCTGGTATAATCAGATTTGTTGTCACGGAAGTGCCTTTAACTTGGTGTTCAGATAGTTTTCCCAAAATTGATTACCGGGAACTCATGATTTAGTCGATTCATTTTTACGGACTGCATTGTAATGCTATCATTCGGCTGGTTTTTTGTATATTATGGCGACGTTTTAGAAATTAAAAAGATACATTTTTTAAGAGGTGATTAAAAGCGTGTGAAAATGAAAATCTGAAACGTTCTGGACACACGACATACCTTTTCTTTCAAAAACGTAGATCTGACAGAACACATTTTTCTTTATTATTTTTGTGTGAATTTGGCTGCGTTTGTTTTACCTCCACATCGTATAACGATACGAAGAAACGGATAGGTGGCCCCAGTTTTAATAAAATGTTTTTGATTATTCTTCTTTCTTGAATTCTTACCAAGATATAATAATTAGTATAATTGATACTTAATTGCATATGATTAGTATTATTGATACTTAATTTGCTTGCACTCTTTTTATGAAGTTAGTTTTTTAAGATTGTCGAGGTTTTTATGTAGATACATGTACTGCACATTTGTAGCTAATTCTTCAAGAAATTCAGCGATGTCCTGTTTTACTGCGTCACACGTGCGATCTGATAGGTTTAAAGAGACTAATAGTAATACTGAATACGCACAGTGTGATTTCATGTATCTTGTGACCAATGATCATGACGTCGTCTCACAGATGTAAACACAAACTTGCAGGAACGCGCTAAGTTCCTTGGCCATACAATACCGCGCTGCTGTGAGCATTGACTGTACCTTCAATCCAATCGGCCGACTGCGCTGCGTGATATTATTATATAGCCAGGTTCTCACACAGCTTTGAGTTTTAAAGAGGATGGGGCATTGCAATGACAATGTTAATAATAAGTTCGATAACTTGAAGACTAAACAGAGGCTACAGTTTGTATACAAAACGATTTGTTGTTACTGGTGAATTCCATATTAGGAAGAAACTGATTTATTGTAGAAAATCCTCAAACAAGTGTTATCATGTTATTGTACATGTCCAGATTGCGTCTTGGTGAAATTCTGTGCGCGAGAAAAATTTCACGCTTATATCGAGAAATTCTCAGCGCGCCAGCCGCTATCGACAATCTGTGAGTGTATTGACTGTAGTGACAGTCCTTCTGCCAGCCATTCTGGTTGCACCACCGAGCGGCTAAGTCTGAAGTTAAATGAGTTCAGGTTCACCAGAATTCAGACTTAACAGCAGATTACCAGACCATACCCTAACCCAGGCTCCAGAATCACCAATATCACAATGGAATGAGCCCACTCTTGAAACTTCAGGGTCAGGAAATAAGGGTGCATGGTAGGAGTGTCATGCCGATTCTCAGATTTTGACACGAACTTTAGGATCATTTTATAAAAATGGACAGAAAAGAACATTACTACGCGAAATAACATAAAGATAATAAAACATTTCACATTGCTGAACTAGAGTAAAATAAAATCAAGAGAAAATGGGTTTAAATGTTAATATCCAAAGAGAATCTTTCAAGACAACAGTCATAATTTTCCAAAATAAAATATCCCAAATTATATTAAAACTGTTGTATTTTTGCCACATATTCTATTCAAATCTGCCATCCCCAAATGTTACACTTTACTTTTCTTTTATCTTTTCTTCACGACAGAACACAGCATACACGATCGCAGAAAAGCTTATAAAAATAGCAGCTAGTGCAGAGATCTGAACAAGAGGTAGATCCTGTAACCAACCGACAGGTAGAGAACTACACACCTCCTCAACCCCCACCACCGCCACTTCCTCCCACCCACACTCCGGATGAGACGTTACCCCGCACGGCGCGCGCAGCAACCTGCACCCCCGCGCCTCCTCCTCCGCAGCAATACCCACATCCAAATCAGGGTGCTCATCAGGGGAAACAGCCGGAATAAAGACTCTAGGAAAGGGAATACAGGCTGAGGTGTAGGGTTGTGAGCTAGCTGGTTGATATCTGTGGTGAACTGGCAGTGTCACATGATGTGTCTCACATAACACACCCACTATGTGAGCGGGGGAGGAATCAGACGGCTGTTCTACGTCTATAGGATCATCAGGGAATACTGGTGGATACCCGAGGTAGAGCCCCTCTTTTATCTGATCGATGTCCATGTAAAAGTAAGATGTGGTGTTCTCCAACAGAAAGGCCCGGGGGATTTCCCCCAGCTCCAGGTTGGTTGTAAGGTCCTTGTGGAAGCCGCTGTTAGCAAGGGTCCGTGTAGCTGATATCACGTGATCAGCCTGGCAGAGCGGCTGCGAGAGTTGGGTGATCCATCGGTCACGTGACTCACAGAGTATCAGGAGGAGGAGAGAAAGGAGGTATTGGATCATCCTAGGAGAGAGTAAGGTAGTGATCATGTGAATGGAGCAGCTTCTTCAATCAGAATAAGCATTTATTATTAGTGTAAGTTTTAGTCCAGTTTGGTAATATTAAACCCAATGGACCTCAAGATCAGGTCATGTTTTAACCCATACTTTCATTTTAAAGAAATGCAGCAAACAATCAGGATTCTGTTCAATCGTGTTTAAGGTGTCGTTCACATATTACGTAATCAGCCGAGGGGGAGGGGGGGGGGGGGGGGGGTTTCCAAACGATTACGCTCTAGTGTAATTTTGACACAATAGCTATGTGTAAAAATGATTACGGAGGGGGAGGGGGGTTAAAAATTGGCCAAAAAGTGATTACGTAATATGTGAACGACCCCTTACCAAGAAAACAGCACACCTTAAAATATGTGATAAAATTCTTAATGTAAATGTTATTAGTTTCAAGAACTTTTTATTCGAGTCATGATAATATGTCAACGTAATATACTACAATAATATTAAATAATATACGAATCGTTATATAAAAATAGAGTTAAAACTTAAAAGAAAACACATACCAATCTGAAGCCCAAAATTCCGTTCCAATACAACAAACATCTTTTATAAAGAATTTTACAATAATTCCTTCTATTAGTTCTAATTCTATATCAAACACAATTACAATGTTCTATCAATTTTACACACATAATTTAAATGTTCATGGCAGTGGATCCCAATCAATGGATTTATCATTGAAAACATCGTCTAAAACAGCTTCATCGACTGTTTCCAAACTAGGGGGGTTCCAATTAGGATTGTTATCTTTATCAATTAAAAGTGCTCTAACCCCCTCAGCAAACTCGCCCAGCGCAAATGTTTTGTTAGAGATGTTACATTCCATTCTCAGACATTCTGTGAAGTCCAGGTTTCTAGATAGTATCTGAGTCCTGTGAGATATGCACAGAGCGATGGGCGACATGATGGACAATGTCTTCAGGGTCTTCTGCGCAAAATCACTCCCGCTTTCTTGAAGTCTATCAATTATCTCTAAAACTGAAGCAGCAGAAAAACACTTAGATATCTCCAGCAGATTGTCCTTCAGAGAAAATTCGAGTAAATCACATGGATTCTCATGGCTTCTCAAACAATGCACTAAATCATCCTCAGAGGAACAGCTCAAAACTTCATCTTTTAACAGCGTGAGTTTACCTAACTCCACAAAATGTGTGACAAAGTCAAGATGTCTAGCATCATAACCCCTGATCCTGTGCCCCGTCAGCGCCAGATACATCCCGACATCACCCAATCTTGATAAAAAGTAGGTAGCCCCAGCATCAGGATAATACCCAATCCTAGTCTCGGGCATAGCAAACATGGACCTCTCCGTCCCTACTCGATACCTGCTGTTACAACACAAACCCATTCCACCACCCATCACAATCCCATCACCTACACTTATCACCGGCTTCTTCAAAGTCTTTAACTTGTGGTGAAGCTGGTTCTCCCGGGTGATCTGACCCAGGTGAACAATATCACCACCCGCACAGAAGGCCCTGTCACCTGCACCCTCCATCAGGACCATCTTCACTGTATCGTCCCTCTCAAACTTGTAGAGATGATCTATTAGGAGCTCCACCATTTCTGAGTTGTAGGAGTTGAGGGAGTTAGGACGGTTAAGGAGGATGGTGGCTACATTGCCGTGGTGGTTAAAGAGGGCTGGAGGGGAGGAGGTGGTTAGGGAACGTTTTAAGGGGGTGTGGGCTACTCTGCGACATAATGCTTGCATCCTGTTGGCGAGATTTGACGAATTAAAAAGGTTTAAAAATAATATTAAGTTTTTGGAATGCATTTCATAGATTGAGATTGGTTTTCAAGTATTTTTGGCGGACTTTATTTTCAGTTCAATTAATCCATGTAAGTAAGTGTTAATTATGATAAAGTTAAAATTTTGACTGCAATAATAAGTAGGCTCAGTGAATTACTGCTACATTACAATATACAGTATTACAACTGAAATAGTGCACAATGTCAGTACAAAAGAGGACCGAGAAATGATCCAGGATTAGTTATTCCGCAGTTTGGCATTTTACGGTTTAAGTATATGGCCATGCAAAACATGGAGTCCAATTTGCCATGCTTAAAGTTAATAGAAAATCATACATCAATTTAAAGAAATCTGTGAATTATTAAAGCAAATAGATCATACTAATCATAATCAAAGAAAAGTTCAAAGCTAGGGATAGTAAGAAACAACGCTCAAGTCTAATCTTTTGTAAACTAAGATACATGAAAGTAGGAATATACCATACGATGAAAAACTCCGGATAAGTTGTCTTGTCAAAGAAAACAAACAACCAGGTGGCGATTTCCAAGAAATAAAATATTAATGACGTCTTATCTGACATATCTTTAGCAAGGTATTTTAAATATAAAATTATCATATGAAGAGGCAGAAAAACTAAAAACGTATATATTAGAGATGTATAAATCACCGCATAACACAGCGGCAACCAAATTTTGTTTAAATTATTACCAGATCTCCACTTCTTAGCATACTGTCCTCCACGTCTTCTAACAGCAGCGAGAGGTGCAGTGACTTTTGCTTCTACGATGGAAACAAAAATTAACATACTGAGTATAAGAGTCACATCGAATTTTAGCCATATCTGCTCGTCGTTTAAGAGTAATAGGATAGATGATACAGAAATGACTATATATGCAACATATTTATAATGATGCAATCCATTCTGTTTTCCCATCTTGAATAAATCATATAGTTCGAAGATGCAAATGGTACAGAACAAACAAGTCTCGAAAGGACCTCCACTGTTTCTTAACAATGTCAATGGGCTCGTCAAATCAGTAGCAGATGTAAAATCCCAAGTATGATCAATTGCGAATTTATCAAAAATTTCTTTAGAAAAATGTTGACAGTTTTTATCGATGACATCATACTTATTGGACTGTAGCAGATTTCTGAGGCGGCGGACAAGGTCAATAACCGACGAGGTTGACTTATCTTTGACAAGCATGTGTATTAGTTTGGGACGAGGTTTGTCCTGAAAATAAAATATAACGGAATCATGATTGTTTCCTCTACTAATATATATACCATCGGTCATTTTATCGAGTGCCCACCACGTTCCATCACTTGTTTCAAAAACCACAAAAGCGTGATAGTCCACAGGGAGGTATTGTCGCTGTATGTAATCACGAACAGACGGTGTAGAACTAGAGAAGGGGCCACTTAAAGGACTACTGTAGACACCAATAGATATAAGAGTAGCTGCTTTATAAGGTTCAAAGAATGGATCAACATTAGTAACAGTGATCCGTCCAGAGCTGGCTGGTTGGACGTTAGTGTCCGAGGCAAGATCGACTAATGTTCCATAATTCTTTGACTCAAAAATCTGCCATGTCTCTGGATTACGAATTAACTGAGTGACCCACAACAAACTGTGCAATGAAAGAACAACAACTTCGAGGAACCTACGACCTCTTGATGGCATGACAGAGATCACGTGACTCACAGAGGAGTCTTCATCTTGTACACTCATCCTCTGTCACTCAGTCACTCAATCACAGCTCCTGACATCTAGGGATAATGTTAATACTTTAATAAGATTTTAAAATAGTTTATTTACATAATTATCTATTGAAACTTAAAAGGGAACGAATTAAATGCCCTACATTGGGTAGGTTAAACTAAATAAAGATGGTTCCCAGTGGTAGAAATGTTAATTCCGCTGGTAGAATTGATAACAGTGTGGAAACTGGAATACAACACTTAACTTCCCATTATGTCAGTGACAACTATATAATATGACCCCCCTAGTGTAAGACGTGTTAACCCACTAGGCGCAGGCCATTATAACATGACCTACTGTCTGACAGAGACAACATGTATTTTCCTTTTCATATTAGCTGATCAATAAATAGTTTTACCGTATTTCAGTGCTGTGGGAATGTATTATTCCTAGACGATGAACTCATCTTTACATTATTATGGTGTCTGCCAAATAGAGTGCCGGAGGAGATGACGTTTTAGATAGAGTCAAATTTAACTTGGAGTCAGTAAACAAAATGTACATTATGTACTGCTAGTGTTCGCTTACGTTAGTGATAGACAAGAATGAAAACACAGTTATCATTTTTAAAGCATGCTAAAATAATTGAAAAATTACTATTTTACAGAATTTGAGCAATGTTCATTTACATAGTAAAAAGATTAAATATTCCGAACAAGAATAAAGATTTTTTAATTTTATACATTTTTTGTTTTTAAAAAAAAAAATCTGCTGCCTGTCAAAATAATTACATACTTATCTAAAAATATTAAACAATATCTGAATTCTAAATCATTATGAACACAACTATTTTTGTCAAGTAACAAAATAATAATAAAGATTCCGAACTCGTTAACGGGAATTGGAATAAAGTCTTTTTTTCTATTTTTATTTCATTAATTATTTATAATTACTATTGTTTTAAAAATCAATCTGATGCTTGCCAAAGCCCCAGAACTCCTGAACTCTCTTTTAACAATAATATCTATTCTGGGTATATGGCTGATGTTAGAAGAGGTCCAGATTTACCATATCCTTGCTCGTCACCAGTCAGCACTGATCGAGCGATTTAAAAGAGTTGAAAACCAGCCCTTTCTTATGATTAACATTTAATGAAGGGTATATTAATGTTGGGGAACATTATGCATGTTTCCAGAGTTTCAGAGTTTTTAAAAAATGATGCTTTTACATACTCATTTTCTGTCTAAGCTCGAATGGCTGTCAATACAATAGATGAACATAAACATACTTCATTGATTTTTAAATCAATTAAAATTAACATTCAAGATACTGTGCCATGCTTGCCATGCAGATTATAATATTTTCCGGGAATTATTTCTATTTCCCGAAAAGTCGTGGACACTGGTAACAGATAATTTTCCGCATCTAGCAAGGGTTGCCAGAGTATTATGAGGACAGACTGCGAGTCACCTCAGACTGGCTGGCGGGAAGTTTCAAAACAAATAACAGTTGCGCACTATATATTATTACACACTATATTGTATCATGCGCACGTATCACATTACACATCTTCCAATCAGAACCGGAAAATATTATAACAAATAATACCTTGGTTTAGTTTCGTGCTCGCCCTCTGCCAAGGCGTCATGCTTTATCGCCCGTAGCATTCAACAGCCAAGGTATTATTGTTTTATAACTATGTCCTATTAATTGATATTTATTTTAAAAGAAAGAGTAGAACATGCAAGTTGTCTAATCTTGATGTTGTTTAGGCCCAGGTGGCAGAGCTGACTTAGCAACCCAGAAGAGATAGGGTACAGTGATTATATAACATAAGAGGCTATTAAAGAAATGACTTATATATCCGGTTTTGCGCCACCAGGTAGCAATTCTAAGCAACGGATATAAAACTGATAATTGCTGCTTTTGGTGATAGTTGTCAAGTTCCTCAACAGGTACACATATGAGAAGACTATAAACATGAGTTGAATATGTTAACGTAAAGGAAATAGGCAACAAAACATATTTCTTTATCATACTACTCTTATTCCACATTTCGCCATTCTGTGCAGCTCGTCTTCTGATAGTACCAAGGGATGAATAGAAAACAGCTTCCACGGGAAGAAGACCAGTCAAAATATAGACCGGACACAACATCAAATTCTCACACACTCTCCTACCAACAAAAAACCGCAGGACACATGATACAACTATCACTATATATACCACATATTGATAGTGAGATGAACCAGTTTCTTTGCTCTTCATGAAAAGAAGATACAATTCGTAGATAAAGAAGAGTGGGAGTAACAATCTATATAGAGTATCTCCATTGTCAGTAAACAGTTTGAGTACGCTTGTCAAATCGACAGGTGATGTGAAATCCCAAGTAAGATCTCTTGCAAATTTATCAAAAATTACTTTCGCGAAATTTTGACAGTTCCTATCGACAACATCATATTTATTTGAATTCATAATTCTTCTCAGACGGCGAACTAAGTCAATCAATAAAACAGAAGACTCGTCGTAGACAAGCTGGTGCACTGGATTAGGACGGAGCTGCTTCTGGATGTAAAATAGTACTGAATCACGGCTCCTTCCCCAGCTTACGAATAAACCTTCAGGCATTTTATCAAGTGCCCACCACATTCCATCACTTGTTTCAAAAACCACGTACGAATGGTAGTCCACTCCGAGGTATTGACCTTGCACGGTGCTGCGAACAGGTGCGTTAGAACTTCGGAATGGAGCATTCAAAGGTGTGCTATAAACAGCAATAGACTTCAGAGTTGCTGTCTCGTAATCTTTAATTGTAGTGTTTTGCATAAAGATTTTTTCAACATTATATACATTCTCTTGTCGCGGTCGGGGCCCATAATCATCATTATCATATTCGTAATTAATATAATAAATCTGTCTTTTAACAAGTAACTCTGTCATGGCAGGACTGATGTTTTTGTCAAGAGTATGGTTCATAAGGATTCCAGGTTTCTCAAAATACTCACTGAAGTCCGTAAAATGATGGATACCCTCAGGAACCCGCTGTAAGAGAAACAGCGACATAACTACCACTTCAAACATCATATCACCTCCTGATAGTATGACAGGGGAGGAAGTGTATTCCCTTTGATTTCTCAAGCTACGTATAGGAAGACAGAACAGACTTGGAAATATCAATTTTGCCCAAACTAGGAGGATCTGTGTCCAGACTGTCACATCCAAGATCCATGAACTTCTCATCTTTATGTACATTGTA